CTAAGTATGTATTGAAACATATTTTTTTTACTTTATTTTTTTTTGCAATATTGCTAATATCAAAATATGTTTTGCATGACTTCACATGTATAGCAGATATCAAATTGCTTACCTTCTCAAGAAGGGTGGTGGGGCAGGAGGGAGGGAGAAAATTTGGAACTGAAAATTTTTAAAAATCTTAAAAAATTAAAAAAAAAACAACAATTCTTCCTCCCATTCCTCCCACCACCAAAAAAAAAAAAAAATCAGTCAAAGAAATGATGAGGTTCTCTGGTGGTTATGTAAGTTGTAAAAGAGGACATATAAGAGAGATATTGTAAAGGTATAAATGACAAGATTTAATAACAGATTGGACATGTTGGGTGAGTTAGAGTGAGGAATCAAGGATGACCCTGAGGATGTGAGCCTGTGTGGCTAGGAGGAATATGGTGCTGTCACAGAAGGGGGAAGAATTTGAGGGGAAAGAGGAGTTTTATTTTGGATTCATTGAGTTCAAAATGCATAGAGGACACCTAATTAGAGATGTCCAAAAGTCAGTTAGTGATATGACTTTAACTCAGGAGAGACATTACAGCTGGATATATAGATCTTGTATCATTTTCATAGAAGTAGTAGTTGAACCTATGGGAGCTAAGAAGATCACCAATTGAAACAGTAGAGACAGATAGGAGAAGAGGGCCCAAGACAGAACCTTAGAGGGTACCCACAGTGAGCATGAAAATGCAGCAAAAGAGACTCAAAAGGAGTAATTAATTAGACAGGTAGGAGCAGAACCAGGAGAGAACAGTATCACAAAAATCTAGAAAGTGTATGCAGAAGAAAGTGATCTACAGTGTCAAGTGTTTCAGAGAGGTCAGTAAGGATTAGGATTGAGAAAAGGCCATTGGATTTGGGGATTACAAGATTATTGGTAACTTTGGAGCAGTTTAAGTTGAATGAGGAGACTGAGCTGCAGAGGATTTAGAAGAGAGTAAGAGGAAAGGAAGGGGAGGAACCAAGTGTAGAGGGCTTTTCCAAGGAGGAGAAATGCTAGTGGGGTTGCCTGGGTCAAGTAAAGGTTTTTTGTTGTTTTTTTTTCTGAAGGATAGAAGAGATATGGGCTTATTTGTAGACAGTAAGAAACAAGCTAGTAGGGAAAGGTTGAACCTAGAGAGTGGAGATGATAGTGGGCTGGAGAAGATGGGAAAGGGTAAGATCAAGGATGCATATTAAAGCTTTGCTGTGGCAAGGAGAATCACCTCTTTGTGTGAAATGGGTAAAGCAGGAGATTGCAGGGCAAGATGTCTGCATAATGTGAAATGAAGAAGGGAGAAGAGGGAGCTGTCAGTGAAAGACTTCATTTTTTTTCAATGAAATATGAAACAAGATCCTCAGCTGAGAGAGGACAGGGTGGGAAGGGTACCACAGGAGACTTGAGGAAGGATAAAAAGGTTTGTAATAGCTACTGTGGTAACTTTGAGGTCTAAAAAGATTCCATTTTACAATGAGGCCTTAATTAGATTGTATAACAAATTTGTAATAGACTCAATCAATATGATTTCCTTATTTTCTCCAGCTTTATTCTGCAGCATGTGAATAGGAACAAAGTAGGTAGAGGATGGGAATAGCCCTAGGTTGGAGATTGATAAAGTATGATCATTAATAGGGCAAGGGGGCAAGTAATTCTAATGTAGAAGATAGTGTAGAGTTGAACTGATTTACTAAGGGTTTGAGATGGGAAAGGGAGATGAGTGTAGCTAGTACAGCATTGATGGCCTCAGGAAGAACTGAGGGGTAGAGGAACTGGTAGGCTTAGTGGTGATGAAGAACAGGGCTAGGGCTTATAAGGCTTAAGGAAAGATGGAATTATAAAATCTTATGATCAGATAAAGTAATTTCAGAGTTCACAAACATGGAAGGTTCCACTTAGGGTGATGGCAAGATCTCCCTATGTATGACCCTCTCTGTGTGAGGTTGTGATGAAGTGGAGTAGTAGTTCATGGGAATTCGGTACATTGAGGAACTGGGAAATTAGGACAGTTGAGGGAGCATCAATGTGTATGTTGCAGTATGAGAGTTTTTTTAAAAAAAATTACCTTTCTCAGTTTCTCTTGATTTTTCTGTTTGCACTTCAGAATTTCTACTCAGCTCTAGTCTTTTCATCAAAAGTTCTTGAATGTCCTTTATTCCATTGTGTTCATTTTTCTTCCTGTAAAATTATATTCACTTTTGCATGGTAAGTTTATTCTGAGTTATAAGTCTACATCTTTTGCCTTTTTAAATATCGTACTCCAAGGTCTTATTTCTTTTGTAATAGAAACTGCCAGGTCTTGTGTGATCCTCATTGTGGGTTCTCTGGTAGTTGAACTCATTCTTTCTGGTTATTTGCAGTATTTTTCCCCTCTGCAACCTCTAGACATTAGCTGAGACATTCTTGGAGCTTTATCTCTGGGAGTTTCTTTCAGGAGATGTTCTGTGAATTCTTTCTGTTTCACTTTGCCCTCTGATAATATATGTGATCAGTTTTCAGTTATGATTCTTGAAGTATTGTGCCCGTGTATTTTTTTAATCGTGGTTTCTAAAGAATTCAATGATTCTAAAATTATCTCTCCTTGATCTGTTTTCAAGTTCTTTGTTTTTGATAAATGTCTTAGATTTTCTTCCAATTTTTAATTATTTTTTTTTGTTCTAATTTTCCTTATTGTGTCATGGAGTCATTGATTCCTGTTTGGTATGCTCTAATTTTCAGAAAGTCCATTATTTGGGTGAGGTTTGCCGCTTTCTGTTCTAAGGTACTTAATCACTTTCCAGTTTTTTTCCTTGAAAGTTTTCATTTCATTTTTAAAAAATTTTCTTGTTTCATTTCTTAAAAGTATTTATAGTCTTTGTGGAAATACCATTTTTCCTTAAGGCTTTGCTTGCAGTTGGTATGAAGCTACTTTCTTCTTCTGGGCTAAATTTTCTATATCTCTGGATCTATAAAAATTCTGCATAGTGGTCAGTGTCTTCTTCTGTTTACTTACATCCAACTTTAGTTCCTAATTATAGTTTTGTGCCCTGGGCAGACTCTGCTCCCAACTCCTTTTTTGGGTGGTGGGGTCAGCTCTGTTTGGTCTCACTCATGGTCACCTAAGTCCCAGTTCTGAACTCCAGTTCCTGGGATGTGTCTGTCTGGATCTGCTGCTTTCAGTTTCTTCCAAGGTCCACACGGTAGGTTTCTGACCACAGGAAATCTTTTTCATAGGCACCCTCTTCTTGCTGCTTCCAAATGGATACAGAGACTTGTAGGCCAAAGAGGTAGCCCTTCTTTGCTTACCTTAAGGGGCTTCTCTGCCTTGTTTATCTATTCTGACACTGATTTTTCTGGCAGATCTCTTTTCCTGTTAGCTATGGGTTTCTAGATAAGTGGATGAAGTCATGGTACTTTTTTTCTTGTAATTCTTGATTGTTATTTAGAATGGTGCTGTTTTAAGGTTTTTGCTAAAGTAGGTATGTGGGAGTTAGGCTACCTGCCTTTGTTCAAGCAGCTTTCTTCTAGCTTAGCTAAATTTAGACAAATTAATAACTCAATGTTGGCAATAAGGTGATGAAGCTTGTTTTTTGTTTTTGGCTGCAGCAACTAATGATACATTCTAGTAAGTCTTAGAAAGGGTTGCAGTGTATCAATGGAATAAGTACCCACAATGGCAAATGATAGATCTGTCGAAGTGCTGAAATCTATCTATCTAAATAAATAATATATTACAAAAATTAATTGATAATAAATTTTGGATTATGTTTTAATTTATCCTCACTAGACTCTTCAATCAATATAGATAAAAGAAAATTGCTTATGTGTATTGACTGTTTGCTTAAATTAATGTTTTGAATTTTATTTTAAGGCTCATTAAATAATCAAACATCTAGCTTATTAGTATGTACACTTCACATAATTTTACATCTATTTATTAAAGTAACTCTTTTTTTTTGTTTTGTTTTTGGTGAGGCAATCGGGGTTAAGTGACTTGCCCAGGATCACACAGCTAGTGTCATGTGTCTGAGACTGGATTTGAACTCAGGTCCTCCTGACTACAAGGCCAGAGCTCTATCCACTGCACCACCTAGCTGCCCCTTAAAATAACTCTTAAGAATTTTGTCTTATTGAATCACTTTTCCTACCCAGGGTTTGAACTTGTAGTGAAAACTTATTGTGGTGTAATTTTGTTTTAAAGCATTATTATTCCTCTAAATTAGAGCTGTAAAATTACCGTTATAAAAAAAAGGTAATATTGACGGAGGAAAAATGTTATTTTAATTTTTTTTTAATAAATGTTTTAAATCTTTTGTTTCTACATTGCCTAAGATTTCCCTTATATCCCTCCCTCTTCCCTTCCCAGAGAACCAAAAAAAAAAATATTATAAAACAAAAGAGAGAAAAATTAGTACAATCTATCAATATATTGGAAAAAATCTGACAGTATATACAGTCCACACTCAAAGATTCCCACCTCTTTAGTCGTTTGCAAAGAAATAGGGGGGCATCTGTTCTCTTATCTCTTTATTGAGATCAACTTTATTTTTAGTAATTTAGCAACATTCATTTTCATTTGTTTTGTAGTGGTTATTCTTTTCATTTACCTTATTTACCTTATTTTCATTTATCTCATTGTGTATATAATTTTCTTGACTCTGGTAAATTGTACTTTTTTTTTAAGTGTATTAGAGTTTTTCAGTACAATGATTGGTTTTGCTGAATTTTTTCCCCTTCCCCCCCACCTTTTTTTTAAAAGTTCTTTGTTATAAGGAGTAGGGATGTGGGGAAATCTAGGTTACCTAAAAGCAAAAAATATCAAGAAAAATCTATTTTTTAAAAGTATATGATGAATTTAACAAAATGCTACCAAGATAACTAAGTAAACGGAAAAACAGAAAGAAATCTATTGCTGTGTCTTGTGTAATGAATACTTGGGAAATTATGGAGAGGTATTTTCCTTAAATAATTCTATTTTTATTAAATTATGAAGGTTTGTTTTTTTTTCCAGTGGGGATCAGCAGTATACTTGTGTTATAAGAAGTCTGTGGCAAAGACTAATACTATATCCTACAAAGCTGGTAAGTATCTTGCAAGTTTTTAGAAAGCATTTCATCTTATAGAATTCATTGGCTAGTTAGTGGAATATTAATTTAAAACAGGAATGTTGTTCCTGATTCTAATTTAAATAGGTATGAACCTCCTACCTGGTAGATGTTCAATTTCTTTGTAGTTTTTATTTGTCCACATTGTAGCTTATTCAGTAGACTTTCCTCCACATTAAAATAATTTTTGTAAAAGTCCTATCAGTATCAATTGGAAATCTGTAGTACATATCTATAATCATAATGGTTGATAAACATGTGGCATAAAAGCTTTGTCTTAAATATGTGCTTTTACATTTGTAAGAAAATATTGTAATTCCCTTAAGGTTTAGAAGTATTATCATCCTAATGAGTATCATATTTTCCCAAAGTTCGAATGTAGTTAGTACTTTAGTGGCTCCATGATTATGTCAGGGTGTATTATGTTCTCTGTACCAATGCATATTACATCTTGTCACCCTGTGGGATTCTTTTCTGTGTCTTTTCCGTAAATCCTCAACATACAGCAATACTTCCTTTTATTCTTTTTTAATATCTTGTTTTTCATTCTCATATGACTAACCCACCTTATTTTCAAGTCATATATAGTCTCAATAAGTTTCCGTTCTTTAGAAATCTTTCTCTCTTTCAAATACCTGGGAATTTATCCCTTAAAGCCTTTAAAATTACTGCTATTACACTGATTTCTTCTGTATACAATCAGGTGTTACATTTTCCGACTTCAACTTCTTAACTGCCTTTATCACTTTCTTAATTGTATCAGGTCCTTAAAGTGGTCCAAATGTGGTGCTTCTACTATTGTCACTGATGAGAATAAAATGGTATGCCGGAGGTAGATTTGTTTTACTTTGTATCTTTTGTTCTTTCAGATCCATCTACAAATGTTCTTTGTGTAATCTGTCTTAGCTGGGGAGATCTCACACAAATCTCTGCAAGCTAATTTTGTCTCTTACGTGCTTTTCAGTGCCTTGTGTGGTGATAACTCATCATGGTTTTACATTGCTTCTTTCTATGATGTTTTACAAATAAACATAGATACTAAACTAGTGTTTTCCTTGGGTTTTATCCTTCTTTACTTGTCAAAAAGGTTAAATATTTTCTGTTTGAGGTAGTCTCCAAACTTTTTTGGACTGCTTGTTATAGTGACTTTTTTGGATTGGTTAAAAACTTCTCTAGGAAATAACTGATGGTCTATGATTTTACTTTTGTCTATTTCCCATTTTTAAAAGTAGACAGGCTGTTTAAACACATCAAGTAGGGGCTACTATAACATTACTGAGTATCTGCTTGTCTTTAACCTTCTAATTTGATATTTCCCTTGACCTTAGTCAGAAACCTGATTATACACTGAAAGCCTATTCCAAAGTGACTGCTACATCTGTAATCAGTCATTTCCCATCTGAAATATAGTCAGATTCATTTTATGGTGTTACCTGGTGCTTGGTTATATTTACTATCTTGGAACTCTCTTCTTAAAGAAAATATTCCTGTGGACAGTCAGTAGGTTTCTTAGTAGTCAGCCACCCTTTGCCTTCTTTCATTTCTTGCTTTTTTTTTTTTTTTGTGAGTGACTTGCCCAGGGTCACACAGCTTGTAAGTGTCATGTGTCTGAGGTCATATTTGAACTCAGGTCCTCCTAACTCCAAGGCCAGAGCTCTATCCATGGCTCCTCCTAGCTGCCCCTTCATTTCTTAATCCCAAATTGTTTTTTCCAAAATTTTCCCCATCTTGCCCTTTACCCAGTTTCACATTAAAGTCACAGAGAATTAAAGTATATGTTGAATTAGTTGGAAGATTTTGTTGGGTTTTTCATTGAATTTTTTTTCTTACGATATGATGGGATTTTTTTAGTTAGAAGTGACCTTAAAAATCATCTAGTCGAATCTTCTAATTTTACAAATGAGGAAACCAAAGCCTGGAAGAAATAAGCAGATTGGCCAAGGTCACAAAACTTTATCCCAAGATTTGAACCCAGGTCTTTTGACTCCAAATTCAGTGTTCTTTCTCCTATATCCTGCCTTATCCTTTCCCTTTAATGAATGTTTGCACAGAAACCAGACTATCTTCTTGCTAATCTGTTTTGCTGGTGTTCAGCATCAACACTGCCAAGCAAGATAATCAAATATTCCATGAAATGATGTATAGGAGGACATCATCTCCACCAACCTTCTATTCACCTCTTCAGAGAGAACCTGTCAGCCATTCTTCATCCTTCTGCCTTTATGCTGACAACATAAATGATTCTTCTGGTAATTGATTAATTTATAACTTTGTCCAGTGGCCATCCTCAATTGTACCAACTGTTGAATTGATATTAAGTGTTTTAGTGATTCTTAAACCTCCTCTACCTCTCTTCCTCCCACCTCCCACCTTCGGTGTAATAACAGAAAGGGGTCATGTAGGACTGGAAACCATTTTGTGGTTTTGTCCATTTTATAGATTGTCATGACCAAAAAAAAAAAATCGTTACCTCATGGTCAGCTTTCTGTTGATGAGGCTCTCCAAACTCAGGTATCTTTGTCCTTGGACACACAGTTTGTTGATAAGTTCATATTCTAAGGTTTTTCCAGCTTGGTAGAGCTTGCCAGGCTGCATCTTACTGTCTTGGACTTTGAGAACCCAAGATCACCTCTATTCACCCCATACAGACTACTTTAGAGTAAGACTTTGTGAGGCCCTTTTTTGATATATAATTAGTACATATTGAACCATGTTCTATTTTCATTGTAATTGAATCTCAGCAGGTCTTAAGTGCTTTTCTTTTAAAAAACTTTTTCAAAAGTATTGTGCCAAAAAATTACAAAAATGAGAACTAAAAGAAATGGGGGTGGGGGGGCTTACATGAACTGGTCAGTCAACAGGTGTTTATTAAATGCCTCCTATGTGTTGGGTACTTGGGCTAGAAATAGGAAGTGAGACAGCCCTTGCCCTCATGGAGCTTACTTTAGTAAAATAAGGGACAAGGGTATAGAAAATGATATAGCATGAAATGAACAGCATATAGAATGACTATGGTAATATAAATGAAAACAACTCTAAGAAAGCAGTTGAAATCTAATTAATTGTAATGACCAATTTCAGTCCTAGAGAAATTATCATTGAAATACCGTTATCCTTTGAAGTACAGAGATTATGATTGTAAAATAGGACATAGACTGTCAGAACACCATCACTATGTACTGGTTGATTTTGCTTAAATGTTTGTTTCAAGGAGGGTATAACAGTAGGAGGAGAACTAAGGGGATGTTACTGTGACGTAAAAACAAAAGGCAACAATAAAACGTGTATTAAAAATGTTTTGAGAAAGAAAACTTTCTAAGTCTACCATCCTGGTTACTAGAGACAAGATAGCACTTATTCCATCCCCAGGATAAAAATATCAATTCTTTTACCAGATTTGCTGCTGCTTCTTTTAAGATCTTTTTTTAGAGTCACCTATTTTCCTGTATCTCTGTTCTAGAAAATTTCCTCTTAGCTTCTCTGATTCCTATACCACTAATATTTAGTCAGTTTTATGACCTGCTGCCAAAGCTATCTTTCTCACTGGCTGGTTGTTACCTTGTCATCCCCACCGTAAAACCCTAGAGCAATTTCTATCACCTTCATCATTAAATCTAAGCTTCTTGTCTTCAGCTTTAAGACCTTCTCACTGACCAACCCAAATTAACCTCTTTCTGAATTTTTCTGCCCTTTTCTCCGTTCTATTCATACTAACCTACTTGTCATGCCCCTAGTCTGGTTTCCTATTTTCAGCTCTATAGACCTTCTCTTATGTACTTTTGTACTCTTGTACTTATATATTTATACTCTAAATATATAAAAAGAATCTGCTTTCTTATCTTTTTATTTTCTTCCTTTGGACCCTATAGTAGTTTTCCATTGTCTTTCAGATTGAATTAAAATACCTAATAGTGGACTTTTAAAATCTCTATAGGTTGAGTCTCTTACAGCCAAAATCTCTTGCTACTACCCACCCAACATTCTTCGTTGGTCAGACAGCTGCTTTTATCCCATCTCACCCCAAGTTATGGAATATGGTATTAACCCCATCAGGAAAAAAATATTTCATGACATTATTTTCTGGATAACATAAGCTCACTCCAGTTACTCCAAGTAATCTTTATTTATTATTTTAATGATTATTTAGCATACATATAGCTAAACTGCTCTACTTGAATGTCTTTTATATGTATGCATTTGCTTTTGCATGCACAAAAATATACATGTATGTAACACTCAGATGGATCTGTGATCTCATCAGTGTGGGTATTTCTTTCAGTGATTCAGACTGCACACCTACCTGTCTAACACCTCTCCATGTACATGTCCATGTCCTTCCCTCTATTGAAGTTATATGTGGATATATGTACACAAATAACATAAACACAAATTCATAGACTTTTAGATCTAGAAAGAACTTAAGAAATAATATAGTTTCTAAATTCATGGAACCCATTTTCTACTTTATTTGAACTTCCCATAGTATTCCCTACTTTTTTGGCACTGAGTACTCATTAAAAATTTCTCCATTTACTTATAGTACCTAGGGAAGCCCTCGCTGCCCAGGCTGTTAAAAATTTCTTCAAATTTCTCTTGTAATGTTTTCTCCATAAAATTTTCCCAAGGAAATTAGGAACCATTTATCCAGTCTGCCCCACCATAAGACTGCATCATCTGGACTTCTTAATTAATTATAATCTTTATATATCATAGAACTTGTAATATGTGGGGGTTTTTTTAAATCCGCTTTTGTGACTATACAGCACTTTTCCTTCTGTTTTTGTGAAAACATTTTCTTGTATTTGCTTTATAAGATTAATGTTTCTTCATGGGACCTGTGTTACCATGCTTAGAAGGAAGGTGCTAATGAACTGTGAAATAATTACAGGCTCCAAATTGAAAATATGATTATGTATTAAAGATAGAAGTACACTCTGAGACCAAGGCAGGGACACACATATGCTCCAAACTGAAGAGCCATATCTTTTTCATATTCCCTTTAGCTCCTAGAATGTAGTTGGCACATGATAAATAATGAGTAGGCTATTAATATTAGGAATTGTAAGGGTTTATAGGAGTTTAGCTTTATAAAATTCTGTGTAAGTGTCATAGGATGAACTATTATTAAAGTGCTTTGACTTTTAAACATCTAAGCATTTAAGCATTTGATCATGTATAAAGTTAGGGAGGACTGAGTTCAGTAGTTTTTGATGACTGTTGAAGCTTTATTTTTTAGGTTTAATATGCAGATATCCTGAAGAAGACTATGAGTCATTCCCATTACCAGAATCAGTTCCCCTCTTTTGTTTACCAATGGGGGCAACTATTGAATGTTGGCCATCAAATAGCAAATACCCTCTTCCTGTTTTTTCTACATTTGTATTAACTGGAGCTTCTGCTGAAAAGGTACTAAGTCCTATTCAACAAATTATAGCTATGAATTTTGTGTAAATTTGCAAATCTTTGATTTCTACTCTATAGCATAAGAAGTATGTGACCATAAGCAAATCAATGTAACCTTTTAGTGTTCCGGGCAATTCTCTAGGATTACTAAATTGCAGGTGAGTTGCTCATCTATGTGGATAGAATTTCCATGTGGGAGTTCTCCATACCAATGAAATCACAGGTCTGGACAAAAGAAAATGTGAATAAAGCAATTGAGGCATTTCTAGATATAGCAAAGAAATCATTTTATTCTGTCTCTTCAAGCTCTTCTATGCCAATATGATAAAAAGTTTTTATAGTCACAACTTATTCCAGTAAGACTAACCCCACAACAAAGGTCACATCCTTCATTGGCATGCTCAAAAAATAACTTAAATTGATACAGAAATAGTGGCAGAATCTATAGCTGTACTTTTACTGTTTCTGCTTCCCTTGATGTGAAATTATTTCCATAGGTCACTTGAAAAAAAATTCTGATAGGACAATTTTCACTCTTTTATAAAAACAAATACAATAGAACTTTTTTTTAGGAGTCCAGAGCAATATCTTATTGTTAGTTGAGGAGGGAAGGCAGAAGAGGTTTAATGATCCCAGAATATTTTCCTATTTAGTTTGTGTTAAAGAATATGAAAACATACATGTTACCAACATTTAACTATTTTGCAGGTCTATGGTGCTGCTATTCAGTTTTATGAATCATACCCTGAGGAGAATCTCACCGAAAAACAAAGATTTCATTTGGGATTAGCATCTTCTATGGTGGGGAAATCTGATAGCTCCAGAACAGTTCACACTAATAAATGCATCTGCCTTCTTTCTCACTGGCCTTTCTTTGATGCCTTCAAGAAGTTTCTGACTTTTCTATATCGTTATTCCATCTCTGGACCTCATGTCCTTCCAATTGAGAAGTAAGTTGGTAATTGTTTTGGTTCTAATTTTAACTTTTGTTAGACTTAACATGTGGTTTTTGTGTTTGTGAGTTAGCCAGATTGCACATGGCAAATAGGTCCTTTGGTGTAACATTTCCTAAATATGTAATTCTGTTATTTTAATTTTGTATTATCTAAATGCTAGCATTTGAATAATACAATTGTCTGTTTAGGGAGGGTTATATCAAGGGATCCATTTCCCAGGTGAGAGGCAATGTAATACACTAGATAGAGGTGAGTTCAGTGTCATGAAGACCTGGTTCACGTCCACCATGGCACATCCTGGCTCTGAGCTCCTGGGCGACTCACCTCTCCATGCTAGTCTAGGCAGTCTCTAAGAGCAAATACAGAGCAGGTGTCTATCTATAGCAGAAGAGTATTTTCATCTGGAATTCCTATATCAATAAAATCACAGTCTGGTCTAAAAAAAGAATTTCAAGAACAGTTTCTAAGTTTTGTTTTTGTAACAGGATTATTTCTGTTATCTGTTATTTCCAAAATGAAACATATGTTTCTCCCATTTATTTTCCTATAATCAATTATTTTTTAAAATCCTGAGCTAAAACATGTTGCATATTTTTGCATTCTCCATGGCCCCATGATAAGATTCACAGTTAGGATCAGGATTCAAATTTCACATGTCACACCCAACCTGAATGATGTCAGCAAGTCACTAATCTCTGTGCCTCAGTTTCCTTATCTATAAAAATGAGGTTTTTGTACTAGATGGCCTCTACGGTTCCTTCCAGCTCTGAATCTATGCTTGTATGAACCTGTGATGCATAATAAACATTGAACTTATATTTGAATTTTTCCTTCCCCATTTAAATATTATGCATCAAAAATAAAGGAATTGGGTAAAGTTTACATTTGATGAGAATAAATTAAATAAAAGTAATAACTTACATTTATGTAGTATTTTATAGTCTATGCTTTCCCCACAACAACCCAACCTCATTATTATTTTCCCCACTTTACAGACAAGCAGACCGAGACTTATGTGACTTCCTCAAGGTCATATAGGTGCTAAGTGGCAGAGACAGGTATGAATTATAGTCAGGTATTCTGACTCCTAAGGCCATTACTCTTCCTGCCACTTCATACAGCATTCCTACATTTTTTGCATAAGGATCTTATACAACTAATCTACATTTCTTTATTCTGTATTTGTCTGTCATGCTGTTTGTCCCACTTGACACCAAGGCTGTCATGAATTTTCAAGCACAGAAGCCGGAATGATCCAGTTTTCATTATATAGTGACTGAATTGTCATGTGGGAGTTGACATATCTTCTCTCCAATTTTGCCTTGCCCCACATTTGTCTACCTTCTTCATTTTCTTCTAAACTATTCATGCAAATAATTTAGGTCAGTGAAGGCCTGGTGCCTCTTATTCCCCTGTATTATAATAGTAGTTACTAACAATTTTATTTGATGCTTCATTATGGCATTAGAATGACCCTACGTGCTCAGAGGCTCTGCCAGTGGGAGAGGCAAGCTCTTGCAAGGCACTGAGGTTTTGAGTGTGGTCTCAGGAATAGTCTATGTATTTATTGTCTGCAAACTATCCAACCTAGAGTAGTTGGAGCAGGCTCATCACCACGTTGGTAACAGGACAATACATTTGTCATCCACAGCAACTCTCCAAGATCATTTATTACAGAGAAATTGTGATCTGTATCTGTGGAAGGAGTACTCATGTTGACAAAATTACAGACTTTTGTAGTATAATTACATGTGTACTTGTCTTTTCTATGCTACTACAGAATAAGTAGTATAGTGTCTTAGTCACCTTTGTATACCCCTGTAGCACCTATCACAATTCATAATAATAGCTGCTGTTTATAGAGCACTTTAAGATTTTCAAAGAACCTTATAAAAACATTATCTCATCTTATCTTTGCACCAACCCAGGAAGGTAAGTTCTGTAATTATCCCTATTTTACAGATGAGGAAACTGAGGCAAACAGAAGTTGAATGAATTGTCTCAGGTGACACAGCAAATAACTGTCCATGGCCAGATTTAAACTCAGATCTTGCTTATTCCGGATGCAGAGTACCTTGCCTATGATAAAGTAATTAGAACATATTTGTTGAAAAAAATGAATTTTCATTCTGATGATTTACAGTGAGTTCAGTTAGATTTACAGTTCTCCAATTAAAATTATTCCTATGGGAGAACAGAAAAATGTTTTTTAATATATTTTTAAAAGATACACACAGTATAAAAATGAACCTATGAAATAAGCATTAAAATCTTGCTTTCTAAGGATTTTTTCTTTATAATTCCATGTCTTTATTTCTGTAGTGTATAAATCAAAATCCATTTGTAAAGACGAAATTTTTTTCCTGTAGAAAAAATAGTAATACCAATTTTAGAACCTTAGAAGATAAAAATCAGTCAGGGAACATCTATTAAGTTCCTACTATATGCCAGGCACTCAGCTAAGCAGTTCTGGTGATACAAAGAAAGGCAAAAGACAGCCCCTGCCTTCATGGAGCTCAGAATCTAATGGGGAGACAGTACATAAAAGGAGAAGTGAGGAAGGGGCCTGAAGGGAGAAAGGAAGCTCCCATACCAATGTGGCCCAGGCAGGGGTTTGGGGGGGAGGTGTGAGTTTCAGGATTCATGTGATCTTTCAGGATGCTGAGATTCTAGAGAGCTTTGATGAAGTCCAATTGAGATGGCTACCTGCCAGCGTAACCTTTTCTTCTCTTTTTCTTTCTTTTTTCTTTTTTGATTAGGCAATAGGGTTAAGTGACTTGCCTACGGTCACACAGCTAGTAAGTGGTACGTGTCTGAGGTCATATTTGAACTCAGGTCCTCCTGAATCCAGGACCGGTGCTCTATCCATTGTGCCACCTAGCTGCCCCTTTTTCTTTTTTTTCTTTTTTACTAGGTACCTTTTCAAATAGATGATCTGGGAGTGACATGATTCTTTCAGGGAAGTTGAATATAGTAACAATAACAACAATAATAATAAACATTTATGGTGTTTACTAGGTACCAGGCACTGTGCTAAAGTACTTTGTAATGATTATCTCATTTGATTGTCACACAACCCTGGGGAGTAGGTGCTATTATTATCCCCATTTTACAGATGAGGACACTGAGGCATGGAGAGTTTAAGTGATTTGCCCAGGGTCACACAGCTAGTAAGTGTTTGAGGCCAAACTTAAACTCAGGTCTTCTTGGCTCCAGGCCCAGTGCTTTGTGCCCTGTGGCACCACTAAGTTGCCCATTCATTATGAAGAATCACTCTTTTACTCAATCATACTCCCAAAGGATTGATTGACTTTTAAGAGGTAAATGGTTAACTTTCTCTTTGATGTATGGATCCTGTCTGAGAGTGGTCACTTTGAACAAAGTACGCTGCAGATTGATATGCTGGCTGTTTCAGCCTCACAGATGTGAGGTGCCCCTCGGATGACCACAGCATGTCTGACCTTTCATTCTTTTGTTCACTAAAGCACAGAATCCTAGACTGAAGTTGAAGAGGAACTTGGAGACCACTAAGTCACACTTCTCACTTTTTAGTTGAGGAAACTGAGGCTAAAAGGAGTGAAATTACTTTCCCAGGCTCCGAAAGATAGTATTTGATGCAGGATTCTAACTTAGGACTTGATTCTAGTATTTATGAAATTCCTACTGTACTCTCCAGTAGATACTGGGAAGAAAATACAAAGATAAGGCATTGTCTTAATGATGTTCTATGTAGATTATTGTTAATATGCTGAAAAATAATTTTTCATCTCAGTGCCATTGGAAGAAAAAATGGAGCAAGTATTTTAGTAATGTAATACTATATGATGTAGCAGGTGCACAGTGACTTTTGACTAACCTGTACAAGATTTGCATATGGTGTTAGTCTGTATTTTATAGTATAAAATGCTTCAGAATTAAATTTTTCTTAGGCTGACATTTTTCTTATTTCTTATAGGCATATTTCACACTTTATGCATAAAGTTCCTTTTCCATCTCCTCAGAGGCCACGAATTTTAGTTCAGGTAACATTTTCTTGATTTTTATGATATTATATGAGTATTTTTCTGTTTTATAAAATTTTAAATAATAATAGGTTTGGACATTGATAAATGCCCAGATTTCTGATGTTGTCTGAAATTACACCAATCACTTTTTTGTACTTCTAAATTAAACTAATACTTAGTTTCTGTTAAGAGATTGAATCATGATAACAAGGAGATAAATACTTGGAAAAGAAAACATGTATTTCACCATATTAATTTATTTTTGATGTTTTAAAATTTATATTCATTACAGTAATATTTAAGAAAATTGTTAGGGAGAAAAAGAAGAATGGTTACAAAGGAGAGGGTAAGAATAGGAAAAAAAGTGATGGTTAAAATAGTTTTCTTAAAACCTTTGTGTACTTAGTTATGATAATGATAAATGGGAGAAGGGAGTTTTTAATGGCATCATTGTTAATCTTATATATATTTGTCCTATGATAAGACTTTTTTTAAAAATTCAGTTTTGGGGTTTGGAATGATTTAGTATTTCGTGTAACTTCTTTGCTTTTAATGGAGGGTTTATGCAAAACACTGTTGCTCTAAATCTATTTCAGTTATCACCACATGATAATCTTATTCTTAGTCAACCCGTATCCTCACCTCTTCCTTTGAGGTAAGTAAAGCTACATTTTCATTTAAGGTTCAAATATATTTAAACCTTTCATGAAATTTTAAATGCTCATTATTTAATGAGGTTATCGTCTTTACAATTGTTCTCTGCTAGAATATATTAAAATTATAAATAGTGAAGATATTTTGCTATAATATTTTGTTGAATTTAAATCTCTTTATCTAATAGGTTTTGAAGTCATGTAGAATGATTGTAATGAAAACCTTGAATATTTTGTCTATTGTGAAGTGGTTTTTTAGTTTAGAATGTTTTTTGCTTCATATGTCCAAATGTATGTATTTTATGAAAAATATATTACTTTGTTTTCATTTTCCCCCTAAAAGTTATATACTCTAAGTATAATTTGAAAGAAAAAAAATAATTACAATTCTAATATTGCAGACTAACAGAATAACATACTTTTTCAGTTTACAAATTAAGAAAAATGATGAAATGTGTTTTTCTGTCATAATATAGCACCTTGAAATCTGATTAGCAACATACTTTTCTTTTTTTCCCACTTAATAGTATTTTATTTTTTCCAATTACATGTAAAGATAGTTTTCAACATTCATTTTCATAAGATTTTGAGTTCCAAATTTTTCTATCCTCCCTCCCTTTCTTTCCCCCTGAGGCAGCAAACAATCTGATATAGGTTATACATGTAGTCATGTTAAAAATATTTCCACATTAGTCATGAGCAACATAACTTTCTAGTCATAGAGTTGTAGTTACAATGTAATTAAGTTATTATGTAATGTATACCTGAGAGAGTAGCGCTACTTGCATTTTTTACCTTAGTTTTTAAAAAAATTACAAATGGTTTCATCAATAACTTACTTTATATCTGTTCTCTCACTTTGTAGCTCTGATTCCACATTTTGTGATAGAAGTAACTATTAACTAACAATATTTTCTGAATAAGTTGTTTTATTGTAAATCAACATCTTACAAATGTAAAGTGTTTTATACATATTTAAAAATAAGAAAACAATTTAGCAGCTGCATTGCCATACGTATGTACATTTTATGCAGCAAGTATATTTTTAAAAATCATGCTTAAGTTGAATTACATTTTAAATACAGTAGAGGAATTTGATGTTAAAAGAATAAATTAACAATTCCTTTTGTAAAGGAAACAATCATCTCTAACTTATCTTTTGGTAAATCTAAATTTTCATTTATTGGTTTGTTTTAAATGAGTTACACATCTTGATTGCTCAGTTAAAATTGGGATATATATGTGCTATGTCCAAAAAGCTTTTTTACATTTTTTATTTTTATTTTATTTACTTTTTTTTTTTTTAGGCAATTGGGGTTAAGTGACTTGCCCAGGGTCACACAGCTAGTAAGTGTCAAGTGTTTGGTCTGAGGTCAGATTTGAACTCAGGTCCTCCAGACTTCAGGGCTGGTGCTCTATCCACTGCACCACCTAGCTGCCCCAAAAAGCTTTTTTTTTTTTTAATATGCCCTGTCTCTGCCATCCAACTAAAGCATTGTTTTTTAAATCAAGATCCTTTATTTAATCAGGATCTTTAAAGCTGATATATTTTAACATAAATTAAACAGATAAGTAACCCTTTTCTATAATAAAAATAATATAGAAGAGATTAGTGATTTTGGAGCCACATAAGCACTGAATTGTTTTCATTGTGAATTTAAAAGCATAATAGAAGAAACAAGAGTGACTTCATTAGGTTTAAGACTGTGAGTATCAGAAGCACAGATTGTACCTAATCAATATTTGCTTTTTTATCTCTGATCTTTGAGACAAATGTCATGAATTTTTTCCTTCAAATATTTATTTATGATTCTTGTTTATATTTTTGTTAACAGTGGCGGCAGGTTTTCAACACTGCTACAAAACCTGGGCCCTGAAAATGCCATAACACTGCTTGTGTTTGCAGTAACAGAACATAAAATTCTCATCCATTCCCTGCGGCCTTCTGTCCTGACTAGTGTGACAGAAGCCTTAGTCTCTGTAAGTATGAATTTCTTATTAGTTTTTAGTTTTTCAACAGACTTATTTAGGTAATTTTAAACTCTTCTAATGTTGTAATTTGAAGTTATTTGGAGGTATATTTCTCCTGAGATAGCTAGATAGCAGTTGATGTGGAAAAGACCTGGAGGTCTACATGCAGTGCTGGCTCAAGAAGGGCAGATAATGTGATATGGCAGCCAAAAAGTCTTCTGTTTTCCTTGGTTGCATGCTGTCCATAAAGAAAGGAGACAAATCTGCCCTGGTAAAACTACATCTGGACCATTGTTTTCCATTCTGTATACCACATTACAGGATGTTTAAAGATTGAGTGTGTCCAGAAGATGATGATTAGGATCATAAGGGGACTAGAAACCATTTTATGAGGATTGATGGAAAGAATTACAGTTATTTAGCCTGGGCAAGAGAGGACTTAGGAGGGAGAAGATAATTGCCATCTAATATTGAAGGGCTGTCACATGATAGAATCAATCAGTCAAAAAGCATTTGTTAATCTCTCTGTGTACCAGGCTTACAAGGAAAAAGAAAAAATACAGTTCATACCCTCAAACAGCATACATTCTAATAGAGGAGAGAGATAACATGCAGAAATCACATACAAAATATGTGTGGTATAATGGACAAGAGGGGGAATAAATTTGTTTTTTCATTCCTTCAAAGAATATAATTGTGAACAACAAATAGAAGGTACAAAAAGGTAATTTAGGTTTCATATAAAGAAAATCTTACCAACAATTAGAGCTGTCTTAAATTGAAATGGGCTCTTGGGGAAGGTTCATGGTTCTACCTCAATAGAAGTTTTCGAGGAAGTTTACTAAGTTCTATCTCATTGGAAGTTTTCCAGTGGAGTTACTTGTTGGTGATGATGTAGAAGAATAGATTCTTGTGTAAGAACGAACCAAATCATTTCTGAAGTCCCTTCCAATTTACATCCTGTGAAAATTCAGGGGGAATTTAAAAAATTTTTTTAATATTTTAATGTTTTAATTAATTCAGTTAATGAATTAATTTGATTAATGTTTTAATTTTAATTTTTTTATTTTTAGATTTATTTTAATGTATTGATTATTATACAAAGATGCCTCAGAAGATTATTGGTTTTTACCTATGTGGGTATTCATTCCTTCATGTAGATCACAATCCATCCATACTTTGGTAAACCATTGTCATGGGTTTCAGTGGCTGAAAAAAAAATCATCCTCTGGTGGCATTCTCCTTCTGAGAAGGAGCCTTTTCTACTTAGCTAACTTAAAGATACCAAGTCTAATACCATACCCTTATTTAAAACCTTTCCTGCTTGGGAGTACCTACCAGAACTTATAATATATACCACATTGAAGCATCAGAGTAAGATTGTAAAAGATCTAACAGATGTTAGCTCTGGTTATAAGTATCATCTTTTATCAAATGTTGGAAATCAAATGTGTGTTTAAAAGATAATATTTTATGTTTATGTAATTTTCTTATATTGTAAATAGCTAAATTTTCTTTTATCTGTTATTTATCCAAAGATGATATTTCCTTTCCATTGGCCATGCCCATATGTTCCTCTTTGCCCACTGGCTTTAGCGGATGTTTTGAGTGCACCATGTCCGTTCATAGTAGGGATTGATTCAAGATACTTTGATCTCTATGATCCACCACCAGATGTTAGTTGTGTTGACCTAGATACCAATACCATTTCTCAGTAAGTATATCTTAATGAGTTCTTCTGAATCTGACTTTGTAAGTTTAAGTATTTGTTTCATGAACATTAACTGTGGTTCTTTAAGATGTATTTTCTACCTGTATTAAGATCTGTTACTATTTTTGAATCAGCTTTATCTACATTTTCAATAGACCGAATTTCTAACATTCGAGAGTTCTTTTCTTAAAAGAAAATGAGCTCTCCCTGCTACAGCTCTTTAAATATGTGACCTTATCTATTTTTTGAAAGTTGGAAGAAGAAAAGTTAGGATTAAGGAAAAGAAAGTTTAAATTTCCCCTCAAAGCAAATAAAAATTATTGATGAAATCATAATGCAACCCAGAACTTAGTTTGAATCCAATTTAAGAGTTTAGTTTTGTTTTGTTTTGTTTTGGTTTTTGGTGAGGCAATCAGGGTTAAGTGACTTGTCACACAGCTAGTAAGTGGCAAGTGTCTGAGGTCGGATTTGAACTCAGGTCCTCCTGATTTCAAGGCTAGAGTTCTATCCACAGTATCACCTAGCTGCCCCGAAGAGTTTAGCTTCTTACAAGGAGAGGCCAATGTTTGCTTCCTCTGTGTGAGGACACTATTTGTTCTTAATACTATGATGTTTAAGTGGTTGTTGAGTATTATTCTCTTTATCATTTCCTTGTTTTGTTTTGTTTGTGAAACATTTCTTTGTTTAAATTTTGATCATATTTAAGCTTTTCAAGAGACAGGGAAAAGATAGTTGTGCTACGGCAGGGTCATGCTTTATACCTTTGTGTAGGGAGAGGTCTTCAGGCTGCTCCCAGTTACAGTCTTTGTACTCTTCCTGTACATAACATAACTATCCTGACTGAGGTGACTAGAGACATCTCCTAGAAGGAGAGAAAACAAGTAACTTGCTCATACACTCTACATTAACATGTTACATTAAAGATAATTCATTCTCTCAGTTGATTTGTAAAGCACAATAAATGGTATAGCTTTTACAACTTACATATGTAAAATGTGAGCATATGCTTCTATTTATTACCAGGCACTTAGATTTAATACATTTTCTAAGACTTTGGTACCTTAAAATACTCCTGATGCTAATCATTTAACCATAATGTCAGTTTTTAAGCCATAAAACTTCAACTCCATGGAATAACTAAGAAAGCATAGAAAAAAATTTAGGCATGAAAACATATTTTGGTTAAGTATTGATTCAAAGACTTCCCAGAAGCAAGAGTGAGTGAATATTTATACTTATTCATAACTAGTTGTTGTTGCTTCTTCTCATAAGATATTTTAATCATTGGTTAGTTGGCAAGTATTTTAGACTCTTTTTCTGCTTTATATATTTTCCCTCACACATTTTGAGAAGAAATTTAAAATAAAAATGTTGCTCATATATTTCTCCTTCTCTTATCTTTCAACTTTGACATTCTAATGTTACTTCCAGAAGAGACTTATTGTGAGTAGACTCATCTTTATCTTTTATAGGGAAAACTAAAAGAGTAGAAAACTTTTTCTCACTGATTAGAGTGAGAGGAGAAGTTAGGCAACACTATCCCTTAATATTCCTCATGAAGCTATATCTTTGATATCTTCATATTTTATCTCCCTTTTACTTTACCCAGGATAAATGGAGTAAAAAACTAACAAAATTGATAAATCTTTAACTGACTTGAATAAAAAGAGGGGAAAAATCAAATTACCAAAATAAACAAGATGAAATCACAGCACACAGGAAAAAAAGAAGTATTAGAAGCTACTATACACAATTTTATACCAACAAAACTGATTTTTTAAATGGAAGATTAACTACAAAAATGTAAAATGCCCCAATTAACACAACATCAAATAGAGCTCCTAAATAGTACAGTCAGAAGAGTGAAAAGGAAACAGCTATAAAAGAAATTCCAAAAGATAAAAGTCCTGTTTCATATGGATTTACAATTAAATTCTTTTTTTTGGTTTAGAAAGCAATTACTACCTGTACTATAGGAATTATTCTCAACAATTTGGAAAGAAAATATGCCATGAATTTCAGTTTGTGTGATAAATGTCTTAATACATAATATGCCAGCAAAGGATAAAGCAAAGAAAGAGAGCTCTAGGCCATTAACATTAATGTTGTTTAAAATTTTTTTAATAAAATCATAGCAAAATGACTATAGCAATACATCCAAAAAATACTCACTGTGACCAAGTTGGATTTATATCAGAGATGCAAGGATAGCTCAACATAAAGAAAAAAATATAATTAGTCATTAAAAATGAAAATACCTCAAACTACATGATTACACCAATAAACAAGAAAAAAACTTTTGATGAAGTAACAACATTCATTTATGCTAAAAAAAAAAGAACTTTATAAAGCAAGGCAAAGAGGGATTAAAAAAAGATTAAAAGTACTATTTGCTGATGTTTAACTTGGAAAATTCTAGAGAATCAGCAAAAAAGCTGAGTCAGTTAATAATTTCAGTGAAGTATCTGAATCAACATTACATCCTATGTAGCAATAACAATATCGAAGAAGAGATAATAGAGAAATCTCATTCAAAATAACAAAATGCTTAAAATATCTGGGAGTTAATCTAAGGAACACTTAAGACATATACATATAATTATAAAATATTCCTTAAAGAAATAAAAAATAATTGAAGGTATACTCATTGCTCATGTTTGGACCATTCCAGTATAATTAAAATTATGCTATCTAAATTAATCCACATATTTAGTGCTGTGTTAATCAGATTACCAAGACAATACTTTTAGAGTGAGACAAAATAATTACAAGATTCATTTAAAAGAACAAAAGGTGTAGAAGAAGGGTTCATAGTCTGGGGTCAATGAATTTGATCATCATTATTATTATTTTGACAACTATTTCAAAATAATTTATTTCATTTGTATTCTTTTGTATTTTATTATATGCATTTAAAAACATTATTCAGAGAAGGGTCCATAGGCTTCACCATGGACTGCTAAAAGGATCCATGATACAAAAAAGGTTTAAGAACTCCTAGAATATCAAGGGAAATGATCAAAACCACCTTGGGCTCTGATAGGTGTGCTTTATCTTCTTTATCTTGCCCTGGACTAGTCTTCCACTTCATTTCCCAGTCATGATCTCCAAAACTGTTCACTCTACCCTCTCCCCACTGGAAACTTGGACTCTACCCCTAGAACCCACCCTGGGTTCTGGTAGGTGGTAACTTTTCAACTTATCTTGCCTAGAACCAGGTTTCTATCTCAATTCCACCTCAACTTTTGTGTCATCTGTAAATTTATTAAGTTCAGCAACATCAAAGTCATTGATAAAAAGTATTAACTAGCACAGAACCAGAGCTAGCTCACTGGGTCACTCCACTAGAGACCTGTCTCTGAGCATTATTAATTCTTCTTTTTTTTTATTTTGATTTATCAACAATCACTTTCATAAGATTTTGAGTTTAAAATTTTTCTCTCCCTCCCCAAGACAGCATGCAATCTGATATACATATACATTCCTATTAAACATATTTCCATGTTAGTCATGTTGTAAGGAAGAATTAGAACCAATAGGAAAAAGTCAAAAGAAAGAGGAAACAAAACAAAACAGAAGGAAAAAAAAGCAAATAGTATGCTTCGATGTGCATCCAAACTCCATAGTTCTTTCTTTGAATGTGGATAGCGTTTTCCATCATGAGACTTTTGGAGTTGTCTTAGATCCTTTGAGCATTATTTCTGTCCGTTAATCACTACTGTTAGGGTCTAGTCATTTAAATATTTCTAAATTCACTTAACTGTGCTATCATCCGGTGCATATCTTTCCACCTTGTCCACAAGGATGTCATGAGAAACTTCATCAGATAAGCTATGATAGTGACATCCCTTTGATCTAGTAGTCCAGTAACTCTAACCAAACAAAAGGAAGTTAATCTGTCATAATTTGCTTTTGATGGTGTTGACTCCTAGTCATCTCTACTTCTCTTTTTAAATGCTCACAAACTCTTTCTTTAATATATGTTTGAGGATTTTGTCAGTATTTGCGGTCAAGTCCACAGGCCTATAATTTCAACATTCCATTTTATTCACCTTTATTAAAATTGGCATAACATTTATCTGTTTCCAATTTTGTAGTACCTTTCCAATTCCTTGTGATTTTTCGCAAATCATTTGCCATGGTTCAAAAAACACATCAGTTAATTCTTTTGGTATTCAGGGATATAGTCTCCCTGGATCTCATGACTTCCATTCCTTAATGACAGCTAAAGATGTTTTACTTTGGGAAGTCACAAGGATGGTGAATAGAATCATGGGAAAATCAACTGGCATGCCCTTTCCAGGAGCAATGGTAGTATTGATTTGATAACTGTTCCCAGAGCAAAAGGTGGAAAGTAGGGATAAAGGGGTACTGCAGGGTATGCATGCTTGTCAGCAGGGCAGATGACAAGGAGATGACTAGGGTGGGTGGTGGAATGAAATGTGTGGCATGGTCTGGAACAAGATAAATATAATGAGCCATGTGTATTGTATTGTCTGACTTATCAGTAAGGATAGCTATTAACCAATGGAACTGAGGTACAATTCATATAGATTTGCATGTCATATGCATAATTGAATCTATGGCAGTTGGTGAGAGCTTTAATTCAGTGAGTATTTATTAAATTCATAGTCTATACAAAGCATTGTTAGGCACTGAGACTACAGAGACAAAAATGAAATAGTCTTTGCCTCAAGGAGCTTACATTCTACTTAGGAAATAAAACATACCCAACTTTCCAGTCAGATTTATCTTTACTACCCCTCATAAAATGTACTTCATCCCTGACCTATTCCCAAATTCTAACTCCTAGTCTAGAAAACCAAATTCTGTATTTAACCATCATCTTAATTAGTTGCTTGCCTCCTAAATCTGCTTTTTCTTTATTCTGAAGCTCTTACTTTTAATCAGCAGTAATGATGGGAACACTCCCTGTGATCCTAAGGTCTTCACTTTTTTGCCCAGGGCTTCATTATGCCTAGTGATCATTTCAGTTTCCTTCTGACGATGTCATTTGCCTCTGTGTGAAGTACCGGAAACATTACAGCGTGGTGGAAAGAAGGCTGCATTTAGAATTAAGAAGACTTGGATTCAGATTTTTGCTCTGACATTTCACCCTTTGGCAATTTTGAGCGAGTCTTTTCTTCTTTCTGAGTCCATTTACTCATCTGTGAAATGAAGGGTTTAGACCAGAAGACCTCTGGCTTCTTCCAGTTCTAAAACTGTGACCCTATGATGAGGCAGGACAAGACTCAAGAGGGTCTCAGTCACATCATGAATGCATGCTCTAGGAAGATATCGTGTCTTCATATCAGCTTTCCATGTAGCCTCTTCAGTACTGCACAGGAGTAGGGTAGTCTCTATTACTCTTTGTCTTTTGACTATTACTGAATGATCTTTCTCCTGATGGCACCTGTAATATCCACATCATCATTCCTTGAAGTACAGAAAGTACTTGCTTATAGGAAGAAGCTATACTTAATCCAAATACTGTTTCAAGTATTCAATGATCCTTTTATTCCCTTTCTTCTCTTTACCATCCCTTAAAATATTGGTACAGGTTAGGATGCTTCTATCTCTTCAGATTTCTTTCATCCTTTCCTTTTAGAACCATTGGATTCTCCCTGTTAATTGGAGAGTGAAAAGATGTTCTTCTACCCCTTTCACCTTTCTCTTCTAGTATGGAGAGCAATGTGCACACAAAATACATTGTATTTTTAGCAGAGAAAAAACACAAGCCAAGGGCATACTCTTTAGGTTACTGCAATATTCTCTCTCCCCCCCATACTTGTAGGAACTAAGATCCTCTATTCTTTGTTATTTTGATTACTAACTTTTATTCCTAACTCTTTATAGCAAATGATGACAGTAAACAGGCAGTTTTCTTCACCTATTTGTTGCCCTGGAAATCGAGTCACGAGGGGCTTTTAAGAAAGGCTTTATAGCAGCCTTTCTCATCTTTTCTTAGAGCTTTTTTCATCTTTCTTCACAATGTGGTACTACCTGACTTGGCTGTTTTTTAAACTCCATCTTTCAGTCATGTGTAAATCGTGTCCCTCATACCCTCCACATTGAGTTTCACAAAAACAGGCTACCTGTCTAAAAGCATTATTTCACATACCAAAGAAGTAGATTAGGTAAATTGCTAGGATATAAAGTATATTTGAAACTTAGTTATAATGTTCTTCTGGAGTTTATACTATATTGAACCACTGTGTGGGGGAGATTAACTTTTAATAAGGTCACTTTATTTTTTCCATTACTAAAATTCACTTTAATGGAGTTACAGTATTTTTAAATAATTCCAGTTTAACTAGTTTGAAGATCTTCATATTTATTTATTGCCCTGGTAGAGTCAACATAGTTCCTAACAAATATCTATTAAGAACTTACTATGGTCATGGAACTATATACAAGATGCTGGAGTATAGCTGTGTATAAAATAAAGACTCTTGTGTTCATTAACTTGGTTTTAAAATACTAGATATGCAAAACCACCACTACAGTGTTTTTCTCTTTTTGCCTCCAAAAACTTTATACTCTTTGCGTTTTATTTGTTACCACCATGTGCTTTTTCTTTTCCCTTTTTCACACATAACAGGAATATATCTGGTAAATATGTTATTGTTGCTTTTAAATCTCAGAACTGGAGATAAGAAGACTATAGCCTGGAAGATACTTCCAAAGAAACCGTGCAAAAATCTGATGAACACATTGAACAATTTGCACCAGCAACTCGCAAAATGTAAGTGAATAAGTTAAGGTAGAGGGGCTGGGTTTGTTACCCTTTCCATTGTCTTCTCTCTCTTGAGACCAACATGAAGTACTTTTCTTACCTTGCCCTTTACTGAACGTTTTCCCCCAGTTTTGCATTTGAAGTATTATAGAGGGAAGTGTTCATATCTTGGGTGTAAAAGTGAAATTTAAGGTACAGAATGAAGCAAATAATAAATTGAACATTTTTGCGCACACTCCTGCCATATTGAAAAGAATTATTGAATGATAAAACAGGAAGGAATCTTTTAAAATGATCTTCCTTAATTTTCTTTTACTAAAATGTTGGGAAAAAAACAAGGATTCGCCTTTCTAGATTTTGCTTATAAGTAAAATAGTGAAGTAGAGAGATATAAGTACAGAAACAAGTTTTGAAGATCTGAGAAAATTGATTTTAAAATTAGATTAGGAAATTATAGTTGCAGTATGCAGTGTAGGAGTTAGACCGTATGCTTTTGATTCAGTGAATCTTGCAGCTGCACTGTAAAGTTTCAAATGTTTAGAAAATAGTTATTTGCCAAAAGTATAATTACATTAATCAGGATGGAAATTGATTTAGCATATGGAAGATTTCTATAAAAGGAATAAGTAAGAATGTGTCCTGGAAGTGTTCCAGAAATGGCAATAAAGGGATTAAACTATAGTTTCTTTGTTTGAGTCTCTGGTAGTTTAGTGATATCCCTCTTTAAAGGCCTTAAAGGAATACTGTGACTCATATGAAGTATAATATATATGTGGGAGTCAATAAAATATATAGTATGGGACAAGAAGTTGACTTTTGAAATCATCAGAGATAGAGAACTAGAAAAAATTTACCAAAGGTTAAGGTAAACGTCATTTTCATATAGCATGAGTAAGATATACACAATAGGAGGTGAAAAAAGAGAAAAACACACCTTAAAAATTTCATGGTGTAGTCATATGAAACTGACTCTTCAGCCAGTGGAATTGTGTTTGAACTGTTATCTACTATTTATCATTGTGAATAGTATTTGCTGTCATTATGAAGAAAACACCAACACTGTATTTCTTCACAGTACAACAGAGACCCAGAGAAGATGAATTAATGGATCTAGCAATGAATGACTATGATTTTAACTCAGGAAAGATATTGCATTTGATAGATATGGAAATCCAGGAGGCATTTTTAGGTTTCATGGCCTCTATATTAAAAGGTTACAGGTCATACTTAAGGCCAATAACACAAGCCCCATCTGAGACAGCCACAGATGCAAGTTCCCTTTTTGAGCTACAAGGTGAGTGATTCCATTTTACCATCTAATAGTTTTGGCTCTTTAGCAAGTGAGTTATGTGAATGACTCACTTTCTCAATGGATATTTTTAACTATTCCATATTTAATTAATTTCTTTAAGATTAATTCTTAACTCCCTCAGATCAATTGATTGCACACAAATTAGTAAAAACAGGCAAAAGAAATGGTTCAAGTAGTTAATGAGATATTATACATAATTTTTGTGTGTAATATTTAAAAGAAAAATTGTGAAAAATGCAGAGTTAATTTGCTTTATAATTTAAACCTTTTTTTGGATAGAACTGTGATTTCCTTGGCAAGGGGAACTCTTGGTGTACTCCTCTATGTTGATCACAACTCATCTACAAATTGTGTTTGAGAGTTTCCTAGGGGTACTGAGAGGTTTAGTTCCTTTTCTAAATGTACACAGCTAGTATGTTTCAGAGGCAGGATTTGAACACAGGTCTTCCTGACATCAAGACTGGCACCCTTTTCACTATGCCACACTAAAGTTATATGTGAAAAATGAATTTTAAAGGGGAAATTTGCTTCTGTTTTGAAAAACACCGTAAAAAAAACCAAAGTAGTTTGAGAAACTAATATGAGTAATAAGTTTTGTGTATTTTCATATTTGACTGTTTTTTACTCATAAATTAGAAGTACACAAGCTACATTCTGATAGTTTATGTGCTTGCTTAATAGGGTTCTTAAAAAGCCGGGACCGGTCCCATCAAAAATTCTACAACATGATGACCAAAACACAAATGTTTATTCGTTTCATTGAGGAATGTTCCTTTGTCAGTGACAAAGATGCAAGCCTGGCATTTTTTGATGATTGTGTGGACAAAGTAAGTAATACTGTTATGGAACCTTTCATCCTAAGATGAGTTTTATTTTGGGTTGTAATAATGAACCTCATGAATTCAGGGGAAAAAAAAATAAAACCTTGCCAATATATGATGTAACTAAGTAACCTGTGCTTACTTTGTTTGAAATAAATAAAGTCATTGTGTTGGGACAATACAGGTATCAATGTGCATTGTAGAAGAGAAGTTTCATTGACGATGATTTTGAAGCAAATTTGAATAAATTCAGTTTTGTCATTGATTTCTCATGATAAAAATTGTTCTTATGAGAAAGTCCACTAATACATTGAAATGAAACCTTTTGCTCAATTATAGTTCAGATAGTAGCTGGCACCATGGCATGTTGCATTGTAGTAGATAGTGTGCTAGTAGTATTTGATAGCTTTCCAATGACTTTAAGATTATCTTCTTAGCCCCATCCTGTCCTCTTCCATCCAGTTCACAGTAATTTATTTCATCCTGGGAATTCCCTCTTTAAAGGACCCAAGATTTTCTACTCTTTTCCTTTTTTTTTCTTTTTATTTGTAATGATTAGCAGTTATAATGCCAACTTTCACTTTCCCCATTATTGAGTAATTATTGTTTTCTAACTGAAAATTCCTTAAATTTCATAGCATCATTGAGTTGGAAGGACTTTAGAGATCATCTAGTCCAACCCCCTCATTTTACAAAAGAAGAAACTGAAACGTGAAGTGGTAAAGTGATTTGCCCAAGGTTGCATAGCTAATAATGGCAGCTTCTGACTTTCTACTACAATTGGCAGTCTTGGGGCTTTGAATATTCCTAAGTTTGGAATTCCTTTTAAAATAGAGAATGCCTGTTGCATTATTTTGCTAAATCAATGAGTCTCGTACATAGAAGGGTAGTTTATGTTCATCATCTTAAAAAATAATGAGTACTTTGGATTATGTTATTTTAGAACTTAGCTGCTTTATTAATACCCAAAAGATGACTGAAGTAGTGAAATGCATACCTATTGCCCCCAACAAAGTCTTTGACTCTGTTAAGTTGTGAGAGACATTGGAAATATAGTCTATGGGCTTATTTACCTAACTATGTGATGAAGCTTTATTGTTAATAATATTTTGATGCATTTCTATGGTATAACTATAATGGTGGGGGGGGGTTTCTGTAGAAATGGTTTCTCTGTAGATTTGATCCCACATGTTGTAATTTGTATCTGAGACATTTAGAAGGATCACCTAGAAACGCATTTCCATGAACAAGAGATTCATTATAACTGTAACTGGTTTGGGAGTAGAAAAAGGAAAGGGAATGTTTTTGTTTTGTTTTTTAATGGTTTATTTTTCAAGAACTAGGATTGGAATTATAATTAAAGTACAAATACAGAGTGTCCCAAAAGTCTTGGTACCATTTTATGTTTCATTAGCCTTAAACTGCACTAAGACTTTTGGGGTACTCTGTCCTGTACATTTTTAAGCGTCTTATAGCAAAGTATTCTATGAAGCTCATTTTGCATAATAAAGTCTTATTTCCAACAGTTCCAAACTTATGAACACTGAACTTACATATAATTTGTACGTGTGAACAATTGACAAGATCATTCATTTTCTCTATTCCTCATGATGACAACTTTCTTTTGTTCTCCAATTTAGAAATCTAAGGAATGAATGGACTTAGAGAGGTATCTTCTTTTACCCATAAAACTGTAGAGAAGTACCTCCCTTTGTACAAGTAAAAAAAAGTTAGCAAGTAACTATTTCCCAGGTGTATCTCTACTACCCCTACATATTGTCAAATAAGGGAGATGTATTTCTACTATCTCTAGTTGGAACTCAATGAGTTTTCCCATAGTCACAGTGTATCATTAAAATAGTATTATGTTATGGGCTAAATGATTTTTGTGGCCTGACCTGGAAACCTAATCACCATTTTTTCCTGTAAATCTTTTCTATAGAAACAAATGTGTGCTAGTTACATAGAGATGATATTCCTGTTATCAATAGAATGTGAATTTTAAATCGTTTCAAACATTAGCCAACTACATATATCTTCACCTTGTTCTCCTTTGTGAATGTATTTATGAGACAAATTGTTGGGTTTAGGGCTATAATCTATTACCTTAGACAGAATTTTCTTTGGACTTTAGCCAGCCAACTCATAAGGAAGAAAAATAAATTACAATGTTAATTGTTAATATACTTCTTTAACTTGTGAGAAAATGGGCCCATTTTTTAATACTTAATAGCATTCATGGTGGGGGTCAGGTGGTATTAGGTAGTAGGAAGGAGCAGTAGCAGTAGCAGTACTGGTAGTACTAGTAGTACTAGTAGTACTAGTAGTAGTTGTAGTAATAGATGACAAAACTGTTCACTGTTACATATACAGTTCTCAGCACAGACTGAAATCTCCTACAGTTTCATTATGTTTTTGGGCCATTGTGGATATCTTGGTTACAAATACTAAGTTTCAGCTAATATTAGATGTGTTATTCATCCATGTTGTAGTATCATGTGACTAAGAAATAATTCTAATAAAAATTTACTATTATTATTATTATTATTAAAATTAAATAATTCTAATTAAAATAAAAGAAGCACAAGGCTTAGCATGTTGCAAAGAACCTGAGACATTATGATCTAGGATATTAATGTACTATGTAATTAATGCATTAGTTGACTAGGATTTCATGAAAGTAGGTCACCTGCTGTTCACTCAACAGAAATTAATGCAGAAGATTATTGGAATGATTGCTTGATGCCTTCTTTTGATATGTATATTACTATTTATGTAGAGATTTTAAAAACTGAAATATGGCTTAAATTACAATTTCAATTCTAGATTGAAAAGAAAGATTACTTATGTAATATGGGATAAAATTATGTTTAAGCTTTTCAATAACCCTCCTTCAAAAATAATTATAACTCATCAAGTTATGGAATGAGTTTTTCATTAATTACAAATCTAAATAGTTTGTTTATGTTATAAAGAAAATGGCATTTTTTTTCACTGTCACACATGCCACAACAAGCCAGAATATACTCTAATAATTTTTCTTTCTGGGTAACCTTCATACATAATCTCAGGACAAACTAATTTGATACCTAGAATTAAATAGAATTTGCATTCTCAAAAGGATGAAAATATAATGCTGTATTATTTCTGTGTGTTTTAATTTCACATCATGGATTCTGTGTTCAGTGCTATAAATAGTACCTTGAAGAAATTGTGATATAGGGTACAAATAAAGTAGAATTAAGAAATTTATTGATTTCATTATCATTGGCCCTGAATAATATTAGGCTTTTTAAAAAGTAGCTGACTATGCTGATTTTGGAGTCAGAGGACCCAGGTGATGCTACTTATTATTTGTGTGACTTTTCACAAGACAATTAACTTCTTTCAACTTTCGTTTTCTCATCTGTAAAAGTATGCGTGTGCGCGTGTGTGTGTGTGTGTGTGCGCGCGCGTGTGTGTGTGTGTGTGTGTGTGTGTGTGTGTGTGTTGGGGAGTGGTGGACTCAGTGATCTCTAATGTCCATTCCTAATCTAAATCTTGTAATTTTTAGGAATTTGGAGGAGGGAGGTGGTTCCTCAGTTGAATCAACTCTGAGTTAAAAAGAAATTTAAGTGACCAAATTCTTACCTTATTGTCATTCCCCTCTTCCTTTCTCTGTCAGAAATAGGTACTAGATCTTTGTGATATATCTAGAGTCTAGTTGGAAATTTTTCTCGTTTCATACTGCCTTTTGATATCATAAAGAGAAAATGACCAATTTTGAAGGGATTTTGAGGGAAAGGGTGGGATAGGAAGCTAATCACCTGCCACAAGGTAAATTTTTCAATCACAACTCTTGAAGACAATCTACTAAATCTTAGAGGAATTAATGTCAGTATCGGTGGAGGGAGTACATAGACCAGTAAGACTGCAGGACCTTGAAGTACTAAGCAGGTGCGATTCTTCAATACTTTTGGTGAGATCTGAACTTAATAACAGGTTGGGACATCTCCCCCCTTAAAACAGAGTCAAACCCAGATACATATGCCTTCTCATCTTGTGATACTTGAAGGTGTCATCCCTTCAGGGCCCTACAGGCATCCACCCAGTATTCTAGGTCATTAATATTTTGAGGTTGTCTATGGAGCACAAAAGTTATCAAGCCCTTGTTTCTTACTATATAACCAGCCGTTTTCCTTTTTCAATCATGCTTCTCTTTGATGATAACTTTTGTGCTACTTCTTGCACATGATTCTTCTTTGTTAATATACTGTAGCCTCTTTTTGCCCACCGTGCCTCTCTTCATCACCCTTTGGGTCACCTGTAATTTTAATTCTTTATAGATTATATTTCAATTCACAGCCATATATTATCATTGGAAGACTTTAATAAAGTTTCATTTTGACTCCTTTTAAAAAGTCATTTTTCTTTCTATGTATATGATTATAATTTTGATATTTTTTATTTCTATCTTTTAAGTACCATAAGCATCTCTAAAGAGCATTTTCAAGGCAGATATAAATCTTATACAAAATATGAAGAGAAGATAAAACTTTGAAAACTATTTTAATTTTATCCTGATATGGACATTGGATTTTTTTTTTCTCTCTCTCTATGACAGAGACAGGTGTCATTATGCTTTGCAGAAGACAAAAATGTTCCGGCATGCCTTGGATATATTTTTATTTTTGTAATTTTGAAATAAGTTATGAAACTTTTGTTGGGCTATGTTGAGAATTTGCAAAGGCAAATACTTGTTTAAAAATAATGCTAAACCTAAACTTACAGCATAAAATCTCAACAATTATAGCATGTCATTTTGGTAGATGAGGCATTGTGAAGAATTAGACCTGTCCCTAGGGTAGGGCAATCAATCAGTCAACAGGCATTTATTAATTCTTATAAAAGTTGGCTTGGTTGCCTTTGACTCTGGTCTTTGGTCTGGGAATCCCCCTAATCCTGATTCTGGAACCAGGTGGATGGGCAATAACTTATTTCAGTTTCACAAATTTTTATTAAGCCCCTGATGTGTACAACTCATTGTCCTAGGTCTCAGAAACACAAAGGCAGCATAAGCCCCTGCTCTCAAGGAGGTAGTATCTAAGCTGAGCTGGAGTATGAAAGAGAATAAAGGCAAAGATATCAATTAAGAGACTATTGTAATAGTTCATGCACTGTGTGATGAGGGCCTGAACTAGGGCCATGAGTGGAGAAAGGGAGACAGATACAATAAATATTGTGGAAGTGAAAGAGACAAAATTTAGCAATTAACTGCATATGGAGGCTAAGAGTCAAAGAAAAGTTAGACATCACTCTTAAAAAGCAAACCTAGGGAATAGAGATCATAGTGCCTGCAACAAAAATTGGGAAGTGTAACTTGGAGAGCTGGCTACTTGTGAAGGTGGTAATTTTTTAAAAAGACCCAGGACTTGCATTCATTTGATCAGGCTAACACACACACACACAGACAGACAGACACACACACACACACACACACACACACACACACACACCACAGAGTTTTAGTTGTCCTTGATTTTCATTTGAACCTTTTTTGACATTTTCTTCCTTATTTTTTTCTCATTTCTTCTCTGTGGTGGTTTTTCGGCCTGATTTCACCTGCCTACAAAATGTTGGAAAAGCTGCACATGATTTGCCTTAGCCCTCCAGTTCCCTAGGATGGCTGTGAGTCTCACAGTCCACTAAGGATGACCCTTTTTTGAGTAATCGTTTACACTGTCTAAATATCAATGACGGCTTAAATGTTTATATATTTTTTTCAAAGGTAAATTTTAAAATTTCCTTTATGACAGCTAGAATCAGATATCTTGTGAAATCAAAATCTCAGTGTCATCTTTGACTGTTCTGTCATCCCACATATATCCAATTAGTTTCCAAATTTTATATTTCTATCTCTACAGCATTTATGACACATATCCCTTCTGTCCACTGGCATGGCCACACCTGGACTTTTACGGTAGCCTCCCAATTAATCCCCCTGCCTCAAATCTCTCCTCAGTTCAATCCGACTTCCTCAAAACTTTCAAAATTATTTTCCTGAAGTACAGGTCTGACCCCACTTGCTCAATAAACTCTAGTGGCTCTGTTACCTCAAACACATAATACGAAATCCTTTATTTGACATTGAAAGCTCTCCACAACCTGGTCCCTTCTTGTGTTTCCAGTCTTTCTACATATTACTATTCTTTATTCACTCCTACTTATTCAGTCATACTGGTCTGTTTACTGTCCCTCACACATGATCCTTCATTGTCCTTCTCCATACCTTCACATTGGCCATGCTTCACACCTAGAATGCTCTCCCTTTTCACTTCTGCCTTTCAGAATGTCTGGCTTCCTTCAATACTCAGCTCCACCTCCAACTTCTGCACCAAGCCTTTTCCATTCTCCCCAACTCCTGGTGCCTTCCCAATGTGACCTTGTACCTATTTTATTATGTATCTTTGTATATACATATGTGTTTTCTATTGGAATGCTAGTTTCTTGAAGGCAGAGACTGTTTTCATTTTTTCTTTGTATCCCTAGCCTTTTACATAGTGCCTGGCACATAGTAAGCACTTAATAAATACTTGCTGATTGTTGAACTTTTGGTATTCAGTGGATCTGTGAATTCATTGGAAACTCTTCCCTCTAATGGTATGGATAGCAGTCATTTCTCAACTTCTCATTCTGTATTTCTTATTCACGTTTACATAAGCTCTCTATTGAGGAGCTTCTCAATGTACTGCAGTGGCTTTCCTAAATCTCAGAGGCACTAATTACCTCAGGCCTTCTGTCCATTCATTCTCTCTTACATGATCTCTCATTCTTTCTGTGGGTATATACATCCTAGGTAATGTCTTTAGGCCACTTCTAGCATTTAAACTGCTTTTAGTAAGATGCCTCAGTTCCTTGTGCCTAGCATACATTTTTCTATTCCCTTTTAAGATATTTGTAACCCTTTGCTTCCAAGGAAAGTGTGTTTTTAGTGTATTTCTTTTTAAACCTCTTTAGGTAGATATGGACAAAAATGGTGAAATGCGACTTATAGAACTGGATGAATCCTTCAAAAGTGAACATACTGTTTTCGTAACCCCACCTGAGATCCCACATCTACCTACTGGTGAAGAACACCCTTTACAGTACAGGTAATCAATAAGTAAGAGGTATGGGTTCAAAAGAGAAATATGATCATCTATATATACTAGTTTACATCACTGAAATGGGAAGGGGTGGGACTTGATGATCTTTAAGTTACATTATAGCTCTAAAATCTATGATCCTATGTACTATAGTATGTTTTTTCTTTTTTCTTTTTCTTTTTTTTTTTTTTTGACAATTGGGGGTTAAGTGACTTGCCCAGGGTCACACAGCTAGTAAGTGTCAAGTGTCTGGTCTGAGACCAGATTTGAACACAGGCCCTCCTGACTCCAGGGCCAGTGCTCTACCCACTGCACCACCTAACTGCCCCCTACTATGTTATTTTTAAAAGCTAAAACATTATAAATCTTACTATTTGTAGGTAGTAGGCAAATGTATAGCAAATCATTAAACAAATTAAACCCTCACCTAAACAACTTTGTATTTTTTTTTGCATAATACCGAAAAATTTGGGAAAGTCTTTCATCATAGCTATGTAATTAGTTATCCCCTCAAATATTGACAAGAGTTTTGTTAGAAATTTATGTAATTATGTTATATTTCAAGAACATTTTAAAATTTTTGTTTATTTCATTAAAGGTAATTTTAAAAGATTAATCAAATTCTGTGGTCTTCAGAAAGATTTTACAATATTTTGTATGATTGTAGGCTTGATTCTGCATCTTTAATTTCATACTATAAGCTTTCAAGAAGTTTTTCTTTGTTTTAATTGAAATCTATGCTAATGAATTTGACCTGGTAAGTTTACTACATGCTTTAGATGCAGTCTTGTTTCTAATACACTGTTAACTTAGGGTGATTTTTTTTTTGATTGGTTGGTTGGTTTGGGAATTTTTTAAAATAGTAATAGATTCTAGAAAATGCTATAACTCAGGATGGTAGAATACAGGCCAAGACTCAGCTGAACTCTCCCAATGTTCCCCTACAAACAACTTTAAAATAACACCGCAAATCAAATTTTGGAGTGGTAGAGCCGAAAAAAGTTCAGAGGGAGATATTTTTTCCAGCCTAAGACAATTCAGGAGGTCCACAGGAAAGGTCTGTAACACTGGAGTGGGTATAGGCCCAGAGCTGGACAGGAGTGCCAGCAGTGGGCCTTGGTGGAGGCCGCAACAGCAGCATCAGCTTTGGGAGCTTTCAGCCCAGAGACAATGGAGCTTGAGGATGCTGGACAATTGATTAGAAAGAGAATATAGGGGGTGTCTCTAGGTGGTGCAGTGGATAGAGCACTGGCCCTGAAGTCAGGAGGACCTGAGGTCAAATCCAGCCTCAGACACTTACTAGCTGTGTGACCCTGAGCAAATCACTTAACTCTGATTGCCTCCAAAAATAAAAGAAAAAAAAAAGAGATTAAAAGGGACCTTTTGCTGGCGCTGGGTACACCTAGAATTGATTTGCAACTCGATTGCCCATAAGCAGTTCTGGGTTGCAGTTTGATGGCAGAGAGGAGAACTAGTGACCAATCATAAGGGAGCAGAGGACCTGATCACAGTTCCAGGGCCAACAGGAGTGTTAGCACTTGTGGCTGCAGGAGAGCAGAGGTCCTTCCTGTGCAAAGACCAGAACACAGACACAAGAGCAGTGATCACACCTTTCTCAGGATAACAAAACCTTGGAAGCACTGAAAACTTGCAGACCCCTTGAACTAGCTCTGAAAACACTAGCACAAAAAAGCCTGAAATTTGGCACAGTGCCTTCCCACCCCCAAGTGAGCAGATCCCAACTTTAATATAAAATTTAAAGTAAAGAAATAGTCTGGGAAAAAATAATCAAACCAAAAAAAAAGCTTGACCCTAAAAATCTACTACAGTGGCGAGGAAGACTAAGACATAAACTTAGAAGAAGACAACAATGTAAAAATGGCTACACGCAAAGCCTTAAAAATGCTTATTGGACGCAGGGCCAGCAAGAATTCCTGGAAGAGTTAAAGAAAGAGATAAAATTGGTAGAGGAAAAATTGGGGAAAGGAATGAGAATTATAAGAAAATTAAAAGGTTGGTTAAAAAAAGGTATAAAAATACTAAAGAAAAGAACACCTTTAAAAACAGAATTGGCTTAATGGTAAAAGAAACACAAAAATTCACCAAAGAACTCCTTAAAAAATAGAGTTGGCCAAATGGAAAAAGAGATACAAAAGCTCACTGAAGAAAATAATTCCTTAAAAATTAGAATTGGGCAAGGGTTAATGACTCCATGGGACATTAAGAAACAATAAAACAAAGTCAAAAGAATGAAAAATAGAAGCAAATATGAAATATCTCATTGGAAAAACAACTGATCTGGAAAATAAATAGATCAAGGAGAGATAATTTTAAGAAATATTGGGCTACCTCAAAGCTAAGATCAAAAAAAGAGCCTGAAATCATATTTCAAGAAATTATCAAGGAATACTGCACCAATATCTTAGATACAGAGGATAAAATAGAAATTGAAAGGATCCACCAATCACCTTTTGAAAAAGATCCCAAAATAAAAATTCCCAGGAATATTATAACCAAAGTCCAGAGCTCCCAAGTCAAGGAATAAACATTGCAAGTAGCAAAAGAAAGAAACAATTCAAATATTGCGGAACCAGTCAGGATAACACAAAATTTACCAGCTTTTACCTTAAAGGATTGGAGGGCTTGGAATATGATATTCTGGAAGGCAAAGGAATTAAGATTACAAGCAAGAATCACCTAACCAGCAAAACTGAGTATAATCCTTCAAGGGAAAAAATAGATATTTAATGAAATAGAGTACTTTCAAACATTCCTTATGAAAAGACCGGAGCTGAATAGAAAATTTGGCTTTCAAACACAAGCCTCAAAAGAAGCTTAAAAAGGTAGTAAACATGAAAGAGTTATCATAAGAGATTCAATAAAGTTAAAGTGCTTACATTTCTATGTAGGAAGGTGATACATGTAACTCCTTAGAGCTTTATCATTAGTAGGGCAGTTAGAAGGGGTCTACATAGACAGAGGGCCTGAGTGTGAGTCGATTGTGTTGGGATAATATCTAAAAACAAAAAAAGAAAGGCTGAGAAAGAGGGATGCACTGGGAGAAGGGGGAAGGGAGAGCTAGAATGGGGAAATTTTTCTCATAAAAGAGGCATGCAAGTAAGAACGTTTATAGTGGAGGGGAAAATGGGATGTGAGGTGACAGACAATGCTTGAGAAGGAAGAAAATATATGTGTATGTATGTGTTATATATATGTATATGTGTATATATGTATATACATACACATACACACTCTATCAGGTATAGAAATCTGTCTTATCAAATAGGGAAGTAGGAGGGGAAAGGCATAAGAGATATTGGGGGGGGAATGATAAAAGTGATGGTGAATTAAGGGAGGCAGTGGTCAGAAGCAAAACAGACTTTTGAGGAGGGACAGGATAAAAAGAGAGAGTGTGAGAAGGATAAACAGAAGAAAATAGGATAGAGGGAAATACACAGTAATCATAATTATGAATGTGAATGGGATGAGCCAACCCATAAAATGGAAATGGATAGCAGAATGGATTAGAAAGCAGAATCCAACAATATGTTGTATACAAAAGACGTACTTGAAACAGAAAGACACACAGAGTTAAAGGGTTGGAGCAGAATCTGTTATGCTTCAGCTGAAATAAAAAAGGCAGGTGTAGCAATCATAATGTCACACAAAGCAAAAGCAAAGTAAACCTAATTAAAAGACATAATGAGAGAAACATCATTTTACTAAAAAAGGTACCATAGACAGTGAAGTAATACCCAAGTTTTTTTGCAGCAAGTTTCTCAGATAAAGACCTCATTTCTCAAATATATAGAGAACTGAGTCAGATTTATGACAGCATTCCCCAATTGATGAATGGTCAGGTGACATGAACAGACATTTTCAGAAGAAGAAATCAAAGCTATCTATAGTCATATAAAAATGCTCTAAATCATTAGGCAAATTAAAGGCTAATTAAAATAATTCAGAGGTACCACCTCATACCTATCAGAAATTACAAATGCTGGAGGGGATGAGGGAAATACATACATTAACGAACTATTGGTGTAATAGTGAACTGGTCCAACCATTCTGGAAAACAATCTGAAACGATTCCTAATGGGCTACAAAACTGTGCATATCCTTTGATCCAGCAATACCACTAATAGGCCTGTACCTCCAAAAAAATCAAAAGAAAAGGAAAAAGAACTGTATGTACAAAAATACTTAAGCATCCCTTTTTGTGGTAGCAAAGAATTGTAAATTGAGGGGATATTCATCACTTGGGGCATGGCTGAACAAGTTGTGGTTTATGATTGTGATGGAAGTACTATTGTGCTATAAGAAATGATGAGGGGGGTGGTTTCAGGAAAACGTGGCAAGACCTATATGAATTGATGCAAAGTGACGTGGGAAGAATGAGGAACTCATTGTGCATAGTAACAGCAGTGTTATAATGATGATCAACTGTGAAAGGCTTGTCAGCTGTGATCAATACAGTGATCCAAGACAATTCCAGAGGACTTATGATGAAAAAATGCTATCCACTTCCAAAGAGAGAACTGATGAATCCTTGAGTGCAAATTGAAGCATAATTTTCTTGTTTTATTTTTTAACTTTGTTTTGTGATATGTTAATATGGAAATATGTTTTACAAGGATTCACATGTATAATTGATATTATATTGTTTTCCTTCACAGTGGGTGAAAAAAGGTGGGAGAGAGAGAATCTGGAATTATAAATTTTAAAGGAAAAAGAAAAAATTTAGAAAGAATATTGTGCTAAAAATAATAAATTTTTGAAGGGAAGAAAATGTTATAACCTTTTTGTCATCAACTATTACTAGTTTTCCTTTATTCTCCAATTATAATGCTACTTCAGATTTACATAATATTTTTCTTTTTAAGAGCTCAAAAATGTTATTATATATTTATCTCAGTCTCATATTTTTGCTTTTTTTTAATTGAAAAAAGGTTTTTGGTTTTTTTTTTTGGAAGATCTTCTCCTTAACTGTCACAAAATCTCTATGAAAGGTAGGCAGTAGAGCATAGAGTAATTTCCACATGTAGCAGGAGAAAGAATGGAGAAGCAGAGGTATCCATTGAAACCTATACAAATTGGAAATTTGCTTTTCTTCAGTCTAGGGGGAAGAGAAAGGAATAAGCATTTATATAGTGCCTACTGTGTGCTAGGCACTGTGCTAAGCACTTTACAAATATTATCTCAATTGATCCTCACAAGAAGTCTGTGAGGTAGGTGCTGTTATTGTCCACATTTTACAGGTGAGAAAATTGAGGCAAACAGGTTAAATGACTTGCCCAAAGTCACACAGCTAGTTAGTGTCTGATGCTGGATTTGGACTCATCTTCCTGACTCCAGTCCCAGTGCTCTATCCATTGTCGCACCTAACTTCTTTTAAGTCTACTGTATTTCTCCATAAATATTATTACTTCTAATATTTTTCTTGATCCTTTTTTCTAAAATATTTATAACATTTTCACAATTTTATAAATCTTCATATAAATATGCATCTCATTTCCTGCTTGACATTTATTATTCTACTTTTATGGATTTTGAGTGAAGTAATAAAAAGCATTTATTAAGTGCCTTCTCTATGCTAAGCACTCTTCTGTATGCAGGGAGTACAAATACAAAATCAGGAAAGTTTATTCTTAAAGAGAGTAATAGCGGTGGACAGTAGAGGAGCAGTGAGCAGGGGCAGGTGTTTTTTGTTTGTTTTTCTACAAAGACACACAGATGATGAGTGCAGCCATAGGAGAATCAATTGACTCCCCATGTGGGTATGTGCATGGTAGCAGGTTGGAAAATGGCCAGGATGAAGATAAGGCTGTATGGACCCAGGAAGTACAGAGCTAAGTGGTTTAGTTCTTTTTGAATATGATTTCTAGAGGGCCAGTTTACAAATGGAGCAGTACCATTTCTTTGTATTATTTGACAATATAGCATTACTTCTCTGATTTCTCCATTTGTATTAATATACCTTGGTCATTTATTCTTTCTATGTTATGTCTTACTCTGTTGATACTTTGTCCTTGTTGCTAGTATGATGTAGACATAACTTTGATTTGTAAGCACTGGCAAGTCTTACCAAGCTGGAAAGGAAGGGGAAAAGGTTAAGCACCTACTATTTGCCAGGCAATATAGAGGCAGCTAGGCTCAGTGGATAGAGTGCTCAGCCTAGAGTGAGGAAGACCTGCGTTCAAATCCGGCCTGTGACACTCACTAGCTGTGTGACCCTGGGAGAGTCATTTAACCTCTGTTTGCCTAATCCACTGGAAAAGGAAATGGCAAACCACTCTAGTCATATGAGATCACAAAGAGTCAGACACAATTAAACAACTAAACAACAACAAAAACAATATATGCCAGGCACTGTGCTATGGGCTTTACAAATGTTATCTCATTTAATCCTCACGACAACCCTAAGGAGGCCAAAAATGAGTCCAGGAACAGATTGTCCATATATCATTTGAGGACCAGCCTAGTGAAATTCAGAGAAGTTTATTACCAGGTTGGCCATAAGGCAATGATTTTTTTTTTTTTTGGTCGGAACTCAGGAATGTTAAGGCTTAGAGAGAAAGCTCAGTCTTGACAGTGTGGACAGTTTCCACAAGGATGAAATCACAAAATCTTTGACCTATTGAAGTAAGCATCTAGGTCTTAATTTAAACATCCACCTCCCTTTCCCTTTTGTTTGGGGAGTTAGGGGATAGTGGTTTTCTTGAGCCTGAAATGTTTTGGTGCAAATAGTAGCCACTACTAGAAAAATAAAATGCATGCCTACTGCTGGAGACCAGTTCTGTCCTGTCCATATGCAGAGAGACGGTAGCTTACATGGAGATTCGTGTATGTGTGTACATACACAAATGCATGGATGCACACAAACATACAGAGTATGACTGCAATGTGATGAGATTTATCTCTATAAGGTATTCAGAACTCAATTCACATTTATTTAGCTTACATCATGTGTCAAGATCTGTACTAACTGTTGGTAGTATAGAGACAAAAACAAAATGGTTCACACCCCCAGGGGTAGAGGACTTATATGTAATTACTTAAAAAAAGAAAATCATTCATGATGGAAAACGCTATCCATTTCCAGAAAAAGAACTATGGAATCTGAATACAAAATGAAGCATACTATTTACTCTCTCTTTTTTTGGTTTCTTTCTTGTGGTTTCTCCCATTGGTTCTAATTCTTCTTTACAACATGACTAATGTAAAAATATGTTTAATATGAATGTATTTGTAGAGCCTGTATCAGATTGCATGCTATCTTGGGAAAGGGGGAGGGGAAGGAGGAGGAGAAAATTGAGAACTCAAAATCTTATGGAAGTAAATATTGAAAACTCAAAATAAATAAATAAATTTAAAAAAAATAAAAGAAAATTGCTCTCATTCCTTTATAATAATACCATCAACATATTATGTACCTTTATAGAGTACAACTTCTTTGAACTGCTTTGCTCTTTGTTTCTATTTCCTATAGGTCCTTTGCCAATATTTCTTTAGCTAAGTGAATTTTGCCTTAAGTAATTGACAGTGGTTACAAATTACTTTAGTAATAATCTTACTAATTTAGGATATCAAGGGTTAAAACTATTTTGAAGCTTTTAAATGGGATGTATCAGGTAAAATTGTAAAGGAAGCCAAGTTGTTCTTCAGTGTGAATTGTAGAATTTTTTTTTATATTTCTCTTTCCCAAGTGTTTGCTCTCCCTAAGCCTTGCTTCCTGTCATTTTGCAAGTAACTAAGGCTCTCTTACTTAGATTTCTTCAGTGTGGCTTAATGGAGAGGTCCTAGGGCACTGTATGACACAGGCAGACTCTAAGTGCCTTGGCAAGGGTCATGAGGTTTATAAGTCTGACATGGGACTTGAAGCCAAATCTTCCTGACTTCAATATCAGCGTCCCATCTACTGTGTCCCACTGCCTCTGATAGAATACACGTCAATAATACCAATTCCTAGTTAATCAGTGAGTGGTCACATAACTAATAATCTCTAGGTATCATATTCTTCTGCATGTAGGTTTTAACAGGAGATTTTTCCCCATATTTTCTAACAGCTATAATGGATTTCCTGTCCTGAAGATAGATTTATTTGAGAGGCCAGAGGGATTTCTGCAAACACAAAATAATAAACTGGCTTCAAAAAATAGTAGTCCTAATAGCCCTTCAGCAATGTTCAGAAGAACTAAACAGGTAATTCAAAAAGTTTTTACTTTTTATTGTCATCACAGTTTAATTCTTTTGTACCCGCTAATCTATCACTCCTAACAGAGTGCCACATCCTAGAGTACTCAGTAACTGTTATAGTTCAAATCTCATTGCAGCCCATTTTAAAAGATCATCCAATGATTTTATTATATTACAATTTTATTATAATAGATATAGCTTGAAATATATATGTATATATATCAATTATTATTTTAACATGTTTTAGTTATTCAGGGATTTTGGTGTGGTAGGATTTGTTTTAACAGGATTTGACCTGTAATTTATAATTATGCCATTGATCATGTGAATAAGGATATTTAAGTGCATATAAGATCATTAATGAAAACTTGTTTCCCAGGAAATAAAGTCAGCTCATAAAATAGCAAAGAGGTATTCCTCCATCCCTCAGATGTGGTCCAGATGCCTGTTACGTCATTGTTATGGTCTGTGGTTTATTTGCCTCCCAGCATATGTGAAAGTGTGCCATTCAAAAGTCAGGGCTCTGAAAACAGCCTATGATGTACTTCGAAAAATGCATTCTAAAAAGATTGATCCTCCTGATGAGGTAATAGTTAAGTCTCATAAAATCCATTGCTTCCTACTAAAATTGTACACACAGTCCTCTAATTCTATGTACCTTTTAACATAACTGTTTTAGGTCTGCTATCGGGTTCTTATGCAGCTGTGTGGCCAGTATGGTCAGCCTGTTCTTGCAGTACGAGTACTTTTTGAAATGAAAAAAGCTGGTGTTCATCCCAATGCCATTACTTATGGTTACTATAATAAGGTAATTAATTTGGTTTAGTGTAGTGTGGTGGAAGAGTGATAAATATTTTTGATAATTATAATGCTTGAATGTAAGTGCAATTGATAAAACTGCAAGGATTTCTTAAAGTACTTATTTAATTGAAAATGTACTTTTAAAATAAATAGCATTTCCTTATTTTCTAGTCTTTGGTTTGGAAAAAAAGAGATGCAGATGAAGGGAGGGAGAGAAAAGAGAGGAGGATGTATATCTAGTGGGGCCGTTATAATTGATAATCATTATATGTTATATTTAATTAATAGGCTGTTTTAGAAAGTACCTGGCCTTCAAGCAGTCGAAGCGGTTATTTTCTGTGGACCAAAATAAGAAATGTTGTTTTAGGAATAGCACAGTTCAAAAAAGTTTTAAGAAAAAATGCTCATCTATCACATGCTCCTCTCTCAGGTAAATAAAGTAATTTTAAGATTTTTTTTCATGAAATGACTTGTTAAAATTTTGAATTCTATAAGTATTTTAAATTCACGATACTGAATATTTTGCTAGTTTTGGTTGTCTCATACGAAGTTTTAGCACATAATAAAAATTATATTTAAAAATAATTAATTGATCTTCTTGACATTGTTTAAATTTCAATCTTGGGTTGCTTAATTTAAACAAATCCATAACTTATTATGTGTTTGCTTTATGCTGAACACATTTTTATTAAATAGATGAAAAGGTTCAGATTCTTTCATACAACAATCAGTAGATTGCCACCATAAGCAAATAAAAATCAACAGATTAATGGGTATTTTGGGATATATCTCCTTGAGTGGTAAAATGCTATCATATTGTGTTCTTGAGCAGATGGCAGTGACCTGGATGCTGTTAGTCATGGCAGCATGGATAGTTGTAATGACACAAACACTGTGGAGCAGGCACCCTTCAACACTGAGTTAATCAAAGTAGATTCTACTGATGATAGATCTAGTACAGGTTTGTGTGTGTATATGTATATATGTATTATGGCATATATTTAAACAGGATTTGATAGACTGTCTTATTCCTGTTTTGAATGTTCTCTTTTAACTTGATATGATGTTAAGTAGATGACTTAATGAAACATATATTGTTCTATTAAAATACTTGTTAAGCTTTTATTATTTAACATTGGCTAGATTCCAAAGTTCATTAGCTGTCTAATTTCTTCCATTCCTTATTTTTAATAGAATAAAATGTTGAAGAGCTACTAAAGCAGCATATTTAAACATTTTGGTATATTAAAATATAAGTAGTTCCAGAAGAACATAGATCCCTTGAGCATATAATCTTCTTTGAGCACATTCTATAAAAATTCTTAATCACTAGAAAAATTATGGGGTTAAAAACTTATGTCATCTTAGCACTGAAGAACTATATTAATTTTGCTGTAACATAAGAAATGAATGCACCAGATATTCTCTATGTAGTGTTGACTGCTAGGATACATGTAGTAAATGAGTTAGTGTATCAATTTGTCCTTTAAATATTACATTTTTAAAAATTAGATATAACATTTAGAAATACTATAATAGCCTATTCATAACAGATAGGAATTATGAATTGAAAGATCCAAAATTTATTAAAAACAAAACTTCAAAGCTGCTTTACTTGCAACAGAATATTTGTTTGGTTTGTTTCTTTTGATGTTCATTTTTAGGAGGAACTGTGTTATAGGCAAATGATGATGAAATATGATATTCATGTTTTTAGCTTTTTCTTGGCAAGTTTTTATTTCTTGAATAATTCAGTGAGAGCTTGTACAACCTGAGTTAGGCAATTATTTTTTAAAAATGTAATTAAAAGCATATCATTTAAAAGAGAGGAATCTATTAAAATTATTTTTCTAAATTTTAAGAACTATTTCTTTGTGAATTAGAGTATCATTTTCATTAGAAAAGTATAAGTTCATATTAGAACAAATATGGCCAGTATGAGAAAACAAATCACCTAAAATGATAAAAAATTATATTATAGGATAATGTTTTAGCATTTAATTTCAGTGTATTACTTGAGCTTTTTCTTCCTTATCCCAATATGATTACATTAAAAAAAATTATATGGGTTTGTTTGGGTTTCTTTTAGTTGAAACCTTAATGAACTCATCAGTTACATAAAACCAGTCCAAAATCCTTGTATATTTATGCTAGTATATTCAGTCAAATTTTAGTTATCTTTAAGTGGGTTTTCTACTTTGTATTATCTGCAGACTTTTCTTTGCCCTGTTGGGCTTCATGCTATTAAGGGTAGGGCTGATGAAAGAAGGACAAGTACTCAACTCCTTCTCGTTAGTGGGAATCAGAAGAGACTTGGCAGTATAGTGATTTCATTTGAAATGTATCCAGAAATTTGTATGCAAGTCAATTTAAGCGCTATATAACTATATAATGTGGTTGTGAGTGCATATATATGCAAATATGGGGATCAATGTACAAGCAAAGACAATGAAAGGTGTACCCCAAGAGATAATAACTGATGAATTATAGATAGTTCTATATGGGGTTTTTTATTATAAATGTAAGTTTAATTGCTTTTTTTGTTTAAATTTCACAATTAATGACTTTTTAAAATAGATTAAGTACCATGTTACTCACAATTTCACTTATCACTATGAAGGATTTCATAAAATATGACATAATTATTGTTCTTAACTTTTAAAATATTTTCCATCTCTCCAGGGGGTCAGTCAGATCTTGGATATAATTCATTATCCAAAGATGAAGTTAGAAGAGGTGACACATCAACCCAAGATTTACAGGAAGAAAAAGAGGACAAGAAAGAGAGTGATTGTAGTTCCTGTAGGTACTTAAGTACCAACATATTAAATTACCTACTATTTATGTAGTTGAGCCAATTCACAAGTATTTAAAGTATATTGTGCCTTCTGCTAACTTTATATTCATTGAAAAATATAAGAGACCCTCTGGTATAAAATATGCTTATTCTATTCTTATCCCTGCCCAGATCCCTGACTATCAAGATATTTGCATCATTATGCATCCTCATAATAAGGAAAATTGGACTCAATGTAAAAGTGATAACTATTTTACCACATGAATATATGCAGTTAGTGACTCCAGGTCACATACTTATTACATTGAACTCTAAGAGACCCAAATTCTCTTGATGTAGTATCATTATGTAGTACCGAGTATTTCTTGAAATAACCAGGCCTTCAACTGGGGATTGAAAACTTTTTTGTTACAGAATATTTTAAAATGGACTTTGGCCCATAATGAAAGAAAAAGACAATGCTGCACACGCAGAGGGGGGAAAATTCTTTAAAAGCATACAATCTAACATAAGGTATTGGTTAACAAATTTTTCCTTGTATCCTTATAAGTGTCCCAACTCTACACAGCTTTTTAATGCCTTGTATTTCATGTATAAATTATATATAATGATATAAATTAGCCCATACTTTTCTCCTGAAAGTCTGGAGAAAGTGGAATAATTCCAGGTCTATAAATGGAGAAACAGTTTAGTGTTTTCTTAAATCTTTATAGAAATTTAGCAGTTTAAAAAAAAAACAATAGGAACAAACCTTTATACTTCCTCAGGTATGTTTTTTCTTTCCTGTTTTTAATGCCAAACTTTTTTTAAATGAAATTTTCTTTTTCTCTTCACAGTGTCTGAGAATGAGAGTGCAAAAGGAAGTGCTGATTGCCTTCCTAAGCTCAATTATCAAAATATGGGCAGTCTAAATCCTACATCTAGTATAGTTCGCCTCAGTGGTATGATTAGCCATGCAGATGAAGTATCAGGAGGAAGCACAGGTAATCTATGTATTACATTCTTGTTCCTTGCATGATAAACCAAATTTATATCTGTGATGTATCATATTAACCAAAAATGTCAGTATTAAAAATCAGGTTTAATTTTATGGTCTTTTTTATTAAACGAATAAATTAAATAGTATTTATAAAATGCTTAGCACAATACTTGGTACATAGCAAGTGCTATATAAATGCTAGTGATGATGATGATGATGATGTCGATGTCAATGTCATTGTCATTGATGTCTATTTGTGATGTTAGACATTATAGTCAAGCAACTTGTGCTCTGAACTTTATTACAAACCAACTCTTGTTGAACTACTCTTTTCTAACTTGTCATATACCCTGACTCTACCCAAGGTTGACATTATTGCTGCTTTTGATATAGACCACTGGAAACTCTAAAGGATAGTAAGCTGGCCCTTTTATTATAAATTTAAGCATAGTTGTGTAATTTCATCAGTTAGAAAAATGCAAATCCTCAATTTTGTAGCTAAATTCTGTCTACCCATCCAGTGGCCATAACACTCTTATAGTTGACATATTGTAATGAGACCTACATTTTAAAATGCTTTTATACAATAAGATCTCATTTTATACTTAAAAATTCCACCATGATAGAATATCTTCAAGTATAGTCCCAGTTATATATATATATGTATATATATGTATATATATGTATATATATTTCCAAGTTCAGAGAAGCCTATCATCACCAGGTTGGCTCCAGGGTACTGAATTATTTGGCCAGGCCAAATCTGAAAAATTGCCTACTATGTTAGGGTGCTTGTGATTGGGGTCAATTTAGTGTATACCAACATCAGTGGATTAAGGACCCTTCAACTTCACTAGACTCACAGCAATACCATAATGTAATAAGAATAAGCCTGCATTATATCCTTTTATAAATGAGAAACTTGAGTTAAGGAGTTTAGTGACTTACTCAAGATCACACTATTCCTGGGAGAGGTAGATTATAGAACCTGAGTCTGCTGACTCCCAGCCTCAGGTTCCTAGAGAGTCAGCATGACATGGTCAATAGAGGGCTGATCTTGGAGTCAGGAAAACCTAAATTCAGTTCCATACTTTGGTGTGGCTCTGTGATTTGAGCAAATCACTTAACTTCTCTGTACCTCCACGTCCTCATCAATAAAAGGAGAGGGTTGGACTTGTTTTTTGTGGTCTCGTGGAGCCCTAAATTTATGATCCTATGGTCCTTCTACAGGATCTACAGGTTTAATAGACCCAGGATTGGTTGGGTTTTTTTTGATGGAATAATGTGACTATACATTTTTATTTCTTGAATCAACTCAGTTTTGCTTCTATTTATAAACAAGAATATACATATTTGGGAACTATCTTAAGTGAAGCTTCTTTGTATAAATATTAGCACAATTTTATGGCATATCCTTTTCTGAAAAACTATTATAAATCTTCTGCTATCAGGTAATATATATGGTTATTTCTCTTAGAATCCTTGTTAGGAAAATATTATGTTATTTAACATTATTAAAGTTTTGCATTGGCTTCATGAAATTACTTCATTGATAAGTCATCAAGTCCTTTCTAACCATTATATCTCCCCTCCCCTAAATGTCTCTGTTTTTGTTGAAAAAACATTATCTCTATAGTCACCCCAGTTTATAACCTCTGAGTCATCTTTAATTCTTTTCTTCATTTCGTTGCCCCAAATTCAATTAGTTAGCGAATTTTGTTGATTTTTACCTCCACAACATCTCTTGTATTCTTCCCCTTCACTCCACTGACATGACCAGGTCACCTCTTGCCCAGATTATTAAAATACTCTCCTAATGGGTCTCCTTGCTTCTGATGTCTCCCCTTGCTTCTGATGTCTCCCTTTTCCAGTCCATCCTCCAAAAAGCTGTCAAAAGCATAGCTCTGATCACATTATTCTCCAGCTCAAAAATTTCCAGTTTTTTCCTCTTATCTCTAGGAGAAAATTTAAATTCTTTGCGTTCAAAGCCCTTTCATAATCTGATTTCTAGACTTATTTCTCTCTTTCTTTTTTCCAGCCAAAGACAAGGTTTATTAGAACATCAGTCCGGGTGGGTGAGATTTAAAGAATCCGCCATATTGGCCAGACTCTTAAGGAATCTAAGTATTTGTTTCACTAATGCAAGTGGGCCAGATCTTAAGAATCTGAGCACTTTAATGGAGACAAGATGGACCTTCTATACAGAAAGACTGGGAGAGGGATCTAGGAGTGGTCAAGTAGTCTAGGGTGACTGGAGGAAGGGTCTAAGGAGGATCTGAATGGGAGTGGCCAGGGGCAATTGGGAGGTAATAGAACAGAATTGGGAGATTGGACACAGCTACAATGAAAGGCCAGTTGAGTGGATTATAGCCTCAGGCAAACGCCAGAGATTTAGCCATGTGGGAAAGTCCGGGGCTTTTCCTTTTTTGGGTCCAGATCCCAAAGACATGGTCTTTTCCTTTTAGGGGTTCAGATCCCATCCTCATCATTCCCCCCCAAACAAATGGGACCCAAATTCTTTTGGGGTAAGGGGTGAAGATCTTGGCTTCTGAAACTGCTGCCTGCTGGCAAGGGGCATAGAGCTGTCCGTTCCTCGAGGGGGGTCCAGAAGAGGAGGTTGACTGGAACAGAGCATAGGCTGTATCCAGGGGATGATGGGGGGACATTGGCTGATACCCACTATTTGCTACCAGCTGTAGGTGAATGGCCTGTGGTCTGAAAGACACAAATCTGACAGAAAAGAATGCAGGGCCCAGCTAAAGGGAGAAGTAAAAGTGTAAGAGCCCCATTAAAATTGTTTACATTTGATCTGCAGAATTATCTAATCTTGTTACTTTTTCAAAAGTTTAAGTAACACTTTTGCAGGTAGAAGTTTTCTACTCCAGATTCAATAGTTACACAAATGAATTTGCCAAGAGATTTGACTTTCACTTCAATTATCACTGAAATTTTCCACCCCAAACCAAACTGAAAATGTTTCTGATTTATTTTCAGTTGTTTGGGGGCACTGAATGACTACACATTCAGATCAAAACAGCAAGATCTCACACGCTTGCATTGTGCTTGTATTTTTTGCTGTCTATTTGCTCTGACTAGAAATTTGCTATAAAAGGATTAAGTAGGGACAAGATTTAGGGCCCAAATATTTCAGGATAAAACATCCTTAGCTCTGCTTGAATTCAGATAATTCACAATTTTCCAACTGTGCAGTTTCAAATCCACCTCATAGCCAGACTCAGGAATAGCCAGGTAGGTAGCATTCCTTTTCAAAGGAACATAATGGGGAAACTGAGCCAGGAGGATCCCATCTTAGACTGAGGCTAAAATTGTCCTCTCAGCTTTTCCTGGTGCTGACTTCCCACCAGTATCACATTCTCTCTGAGTAGCTTGTGACATTTCTCTCAGATGGTAGATTATTGATTATTGATGGATTATTATGATCCATCAGACAACTCAAAATAAAATCATTTAGGGTCCCATGAGCTTTTACCTCAAGCAGCAAGTTTCACTAATCACAGCTTAGGAAAAACTTTTCCTGGATTTACATCTCAAATTTAAATTTGTCCTGGTGTAAAAAGCCAATTGTTAGAGATTATTTTCATATACTTGCAAATTCTCAGCAAGCCATAACCCAAACAAGCTTTTTGGCAAGTTTACACATTAAAGCAATAACCAACAATAGCCAAATTGTTTTAGCTGAAACCGAATTATGAAAAGTTACTTGACATAACTGATACAAAAAGTTTATCAATTGGAAACTTAAAACAAACCCATTACCAATCAGGTGACTTCAGTTTTGTTAAATGCATTTCCAGATTACTTTACACAGAGAATCACCGTCTCTTCATTAACAGTTAAAAGTACAACTTTAAAAGAACGGGCTTACCCAAATTCGGAGGCTGGCTAACTTCTTTACCTTGACCCATCCCCCTTCCCTCTCTCCCCAGGGCTGCTGGGGGTTGAAGTGGGAGTGAGGGGGTTAGCAGGATGTGCTGAATCTGGGTGATGCTTCCAGGCAAAGATTGCCCCAGGGCCCAAGGCCATTGCCAGGGGGCTCATGCTCTAGCTGCTGTCCCTCCCCCCCTTCCTTTTGCCAGGTGGGGGAGGGTGAATTCAAAGGTGAGGGAGGGGGAGGATGAAATTCTCTTCTCCTATGAGAGGTGTTAACAAAGATACCATCTTGATTCAAGGGAAGGGAGTGGGAGAAGGGAATGATCAGAGTTGTAAGGAAGTGTTTCAAAACTCCTTAATGATCAATAACAGAACTACCAGAATCGGCTGAGATGTTTTTAGCTGTTCTGACTTTTCCCTGTAGCCTCCTTGAAGGAGGATCCAGGGGTGTAGAGGTAAGGGAGTAAGTAAGCCTCAGGGAACCAAAAAACACCTGCAGTTTTACCAATTCCCTAGCGTTGAGAGAATTGACAGAATTAGGCATACACTTCTGGATGTTGTGTCCATCCTTCTCCTCTATGCTGCGGAAGGTGTACCCAAGTCCTTGGCCTTAAACCGAACCAGTGAACAGAGAACCTGAGAGCATCAGGCCGAGTAAGAGACAGCCTTGTAACTGTCTGCCCAAAAATCACCTCCAAGCCTTCCTAGGTGCTTGGAGAGCAACCCCAACTGCAGGGCAAGAAAGAAGGGGAAGGCTTATATACCTTCCAGTCTTGGCTGAAGAAAAGCTTAGGGTTAGGCAGCTTCCCCATACGGACCACCAAAATGTTGAGGTTTAGGCATACTAGGACCCCAAAATCATGACACACAGGTCTTGCCCGAATGAATTTGACCCAAGCCTTCTTTTAGCCGAAGACAAGGTTTATTAGAATATCGATCGGGGAGTGGATGAGAATTAAAGAATCCGCCATATTGGCCAGACTCTCAAGGAATCTAAGCATTTGTATTGCTAATGCAAGCGGGCCAGATCTTAAGAATCTGAGCTCCAGACTTATTTCACCTTACTCCCTTTTACATTTTGTGTTCCAGGCTCTTATCTAATACTGTTCCCTA